CTTTAAAGAAGACTGTTCTTAAAGATGGTGACCTAACCGACAAACAAAAGTTAGAATGACTTTTCCACAACATCGAGCTGCAACAATGCTCAACAACAGGAATGTTACTGCGAATGCGAGAGGTCACTAGTTAATGGAACTTTGGCGATAGCCCTTCTAGACAGCCTTCCTTGTCTAATCTTTCCCAGTATTGATGACGGTCTTTGTCTCATTACAAAATAACACACTGATGAACTCGCTGCATCTACTGATCAGATTCTGGAGATAACGAAACCTTCTAGCGTCGAGGTTTTTCCTGTCAAAGAAAAGCCTCTAACAACACAAAATGACGTCACAGACATCTTTCACACTCTGGCTCGTTATCTTAATATCCATCATAACCGTAGCTGCGCTAAAACCGGAAGGGGTTCGTCATGAAAAAGGCACCTCTGTAGACTATGAGAGACAGATAACCGCAATTGGGGCGGGTACCACATTCTCAAAACCGTTATTACCACTCCCTTTGAACTCTACGGATGTTTACGTATGCCTTTGGGACTAAGAACTGGTGCAAATACATTCCAGAGGCTCACTGATGACGTCTTTCAAGGTCTAGACTTCGTGCAAGCGTGTGCAGATGACTTATTGATGGCAAAGTCGGATAGAGAATCCCATGTCCAGAACCTGGACCTTGTTTTCGAACGACTGCGAAACCATGGCGTTACTAGAAAAATTCAGAAACGTCATCGTAATCGACTCTTCAGATTTTCTCGTACATGTTACAGATGCTTATGGCACCAGTTCTCTTACAAGCAGAGTGATGGCCATTCTGGATTATCCAGAACTGAATAAAGTCAACAGATTACGTATGTCCAACGGTTTAATAGGTTTTTATCAACGGTTCCAAAAGACTTATTCGCCTCTTATGAGATCCTTAACAAATCAACTTAGTGGAAATGCGAAACTCAACAATTTGAATGACAACTCTAAAGAGCATTGTCTAGATTAAGGAAATTATCGCAAAAGCAACTGTACTGGCATACGAAGACACAAAAGCACCCAATAGTATCTCCGTAGACACATCTGACTCGATAGTTGGAGGAATCATATAACGATGGTTAAACAACACATGGCAGCCCTTTGTGTTCTTCTGGAGACGATTTAAGGGCACTGAATCGATGTATAGTGCTTTCGATGGGGTGTTTCTAGACATGTATTATGCCTCATGACACTTTCAACACTCTGTGGAAGACCCAGAATTTACTCTGTTTATCGACCACAAACCTCTCAACTTTCTAAGCTCATTAATAATAATAATAATAATCTTCAGACAAGTACTCCCCTTGCGAGTCTCGACAACTAAAAAACGTTTCGCTGCTTACTAAAGACAAACAATACACTTCTGGGGCAAGCAGTGCAGTTGCAAACGCTTTGTCCGTATAACTTCCTTGAACAGTTTCCAAGGCATCGGCCTTTTCAAATTCATCCGGATTCAGAAAGAGGGCACTAATCCTCAGCACGAGTTATCTGCGACAATCCCGAAACTACGGGTCAAACAGACGGGAACAGGTAATGAAGCTTTACTATGTGACACATGTACAAGCAGGAATCGTCTAATCGTGTCGAAACATTAGCTACGCAATGTCGTAAATATTTTGCACAAACTTTCTCATCCAGATATTCGTGCAACCACCAAGCTCTTAGCGGAGTGATTTTACTGGCCTGGTGTGAATAAAGATGTAAGGGAGTTGGTACATCTCCGCGTAAACTTCCAGAAATCTAAGGTGATTATGCACAAAATGTTTCCCTTAGGCTCATTTGAAACTACTAATGCTCTTTTCGACCATCTTCATCTGATTGGTAGGAAATTTACCAGATTCATGTGGACACTCTTAGCTTCTAATGTTTGCAAACTGTTTCACATAACGATCATGAGTAGTACCCATCAAGGACATTACTGAGTAAACAGTGGTCCGCGCCTTCGTCTAACGATGGAGAGCGAACTTCCGCTACTTTCAAACGAGCACTACAGGCCGTATTTGTGAAATTTAGGTATAGGTCTGTACTAGTGCAGTTGTTGAAATTATATATACCTTTCTCTGTATAGAGATAAAGTAGACTTCAAGGCAGTTGTGGTCGGCATTTATTACAATATGTATACAATAGGTGGAGCGCGAAACCTTCATGTAGACAAACAACCTACCATTCATTGTGGGGAATATAGTAAATAAATACTTTAACCATAATGTTTTATCCTAATAGAAGCTTCTCGTCTGGTTCTTAACTACTTAGCTTAAGCTGATGCAGATTTTTCTTTCGTGATATCTATGTATTGTGATCAGTGACTAATTTATAGGACAGACATGACAGTACTGAAGAAATGCATTGGTCAGACGTGACAAATGCACAGTACGTCCAATGACGTGTTCGCTAATCCACGGCATGCGGCTGATGATTCCGCGTTGATCACCCTTCCCATTGATGATGTTCCAAAGACTGTATAACAGTCAGTGACATGTCTCCCAAAGTAGAAATAATTAAGCCTGATAGAAAATTTAGTTTTGGTTCGATGACCTTTCACTAGCTCTACGATACAAAGCTGCGAGAAAAATCTAAACAATGACAATGTAAAATAAAACTGTAGATGGATTTTTGGAGGATGAATTTTATCAATTATACATCTACGTGAGTTTGTAATTACGTTTGAACAGGTATTTATATGTTAGACATCATGTAACTAGGGAATTAATATTATCTTTACATTACACAAAAATATCTCGCAATCAGTAGTGACCTTCTATATAAGTACATTTATACCTAAGTCCTTGTTAATTCTGTTAACCATTTGGTACCAATTATCGTGTAAGTACTGATTATCATAGTCATTTATCCTTCATGTAGGTCGACATATGTGTGTTTGCTTATTTAATCCATTGTCTGTTTTTTTCGTGCCAGTGGGTACCCCTTGTTCTTTCGATAGAAGAATTCATACTAGTAGTGAATAGACCTTTATTTCGATAGTGGAGCAGAATAGTCCGAGTTCGAGATTACCTTCTAAAAGCATTCAAAGTTTTCCAAAACTCAATATAAAATAATAGGAAATGTAATGCCTGTAAAAAATAAGGAATTGGATGAATGCTTGATCTATAATGTTTTGAAATTATTATGACGTTTGCGACAGACGCCCAACCAATCAACCCAGGGTGTTACATCAATTTCTTCCTAGAATCGACTCCCATGGGAACGTCAGTCCGATCACCTTACCAAACCAAAATATATCATATCGGTTTCCCCAGCCTGAAGTAGAATTGCGTACTCATTCAATGTCTGACTTTCGATTGACGACAACCAATACCCAGTCAGTATTCCGAGATATTCCATGGATGTCATATAACTTACTAGCTCGTTATCTTATCTCGTAGTATTTACATTCTTCCACAAATTATCGCTCATGACTTGTTGAACGTGTCCTCCTTATATGGATCGGAGATTTTAAGAGAGAAGAGGCTAGGGAAATGGAACGATTGCATCTGAGCAAGTGCACTGACCAAATCTTTGGTACAAGTAGAAAGACATATGATCCTCAAGAACTGGTATATAACCTTTCAAACTGGTTATCTCAATGAAGCAGCGCACTAAACAAACTATCGTTAGTTGGAATTGAAACACTTTTGATACCGTCTGTGAAATTTGACTTCACACTCAACTAAGTAAGTGGCAAACTTGTTTTCCAAACAGCGTATTTGGCAAACACATTAACTGTTGAAACTGAGACTGTTGGATTAAGTGGGAGGTCCATCAGACGTCTATGAAAAATTATATAGCACATCTACATACCAGCGGAAACGATGACTCAAAGCAGTACTTTGAACAGACAAAAAGCTACAAAAATGGAGTGTAGAAAAGGGAAGATTTAAAATAAAAATTTTATATGTGATAAACACGGGAAAGCAAATTTCCCAAAAGGCTGATCGTCCAAAAATAGTTTGAATGATATCAGTGTTTCATTGCTAAGCAATAAAAACGGCTGGGATCTAATCTTTTGATACAGCTATTCTCGGCTATTCTAGTACATAAAAAAACGAACTCAGAGAATTGGTGGAATTTCATCACTTTTGTTGCAAGAAAATATATTAATATTGTCAGGAGTGTTTTGTCTCAGCATTGAAGGACGACCAATGATTAATGATGGTTGTGGTGGCTTGTTGATGTACTTTGTAGTTATTGAGAAAGGTACTATATTGAGACTACTTCAGCACCTCAAACCTGATAGGTTCAGTGGCCCTGACGATATTCATCCTAAGATTATGAAAGCCTTGTCAGATGTAATTGCTTAACCAATAGCCATACTGTTTGACATGTCTGTGTGGTAGTCCAAACCGCTTAGATACTGAAAAAACTCAATAATTAGTCCGGTATATAAGGCAGGGAGCAGAAACTTGGTTAGTAACTATTGACCGGTTATTCCAACCAGTGCAATTGCTGAACTAATGGAAATGATTATTCGGATGGCTGTTATGAACCATGTGGAACGGCATAATCTTTTATCCAGGGAACAACATGGTTTCCAGAGAGGCCTATCATACCTGAAGAATCTGCTAATTGCAAGAGAAGATTGGTCTGCAGCAGAAGATCGAAATATTCCTGTAGATATAATTTTCATTGACATAAGTAAAGCCTTTGTTAAGGTCAATGATACGGGTCTTAAATTGAAACTGGAAGGTTTTGCAATCTATTATAAGGTCGTAGACTGGGTAAGTGACTTTCTTGATGATAGGAGACAGAGGACAAGAGTAAATGGGGCTCTTTCATCTCGTGAACTTGTAAAAAGGTCATCCGTTCTACTCTTCATCAGTGACATAATGGTTTGTAAACCCATACACCACTCAACTCATTGTTGGCATGGATGAGGGATGGTCACTAGAAATAAATTCTAACAGGAGTGTGGTGATGCGACTAAATAGCTATTACGATTCTTATTCTTAATATGTCTTATGTTATCTGGGACTGATCATTTGAGAGGACATTCGAAGAATGTTCAAAATTCGAGGTCAAGTCGTCTACCTCTGGAGTTTCGTTTCTCACACCGATTAGTCAATTACTGGAATTCTATATTGTATCAGATTATAACATTGAATAAAGTCATTAATAATAATAATAATGCTTCTCTACCGGAACACGTAATATCAGTACCTTCTGTTGTTATATTGAACAAGTGATTAGTACTTCATAGTGTTTTAAACTGCAACAAATAATAGATGATAGACCTTTCTTTATTACTGAAGACTGAAATATCGTTCAAGTTCGAAACCTCGGCCACAACGAAATTTTAATTTGCACCGTATTCTTTTAATGTGTGGCGGCCTTCGGTCCAGCACGTTTTAACTTTGTGTTTCTATCATGTATGTTTAGCATTTCTGGTTGTGTTTTATCGGTTCATTCATAACACCTAGATGTCTAGAGTTGTCGAAATACCTCAACTTGTGACATAATATTTTCATGTGAACAAAATGCTTTCTTTTTCAGGACTACGTTCGGTGCAAAACTGGAGCATCTTTTATGCTCCAGGGCTGAAATTATCAGCCGAATGCACAGGCCCCCACCAGCTGAAGGGAATGATTTGGAACGCCTTTTGAACCTACCTCCGAACACAAACTCGGCTATACAGGCGCCACCACCCAATGTTCCAGTTTGGCCGGATGAACAGGCAGCAGCATTTTGCGCAGTTGCTCCTCCTATTGAAACATTCATGGATGTTCCTGATGAAATCCGTCGGGACCAATTTTATGCTGTAAGCTCAGTCTTTGTTCCGATTTAACCTTGGCTCAATGGTTCCTATTGTCTTACTTGTGTGGTGTATGATTAGTTATTTCGTCATGTTTAGCAGTCTTGCTGAGTAGTATTTAAAGTCCCTCATTTATCAGTACAAATTAAATCATATATCCTTTAACTGGTGGTAGCATGACAGTACGGGTGTTCTGTACCCTTAAATCTACGCATAATTCCATAGCTTGTTGCTGTACAGAGATGTTCTAAAATAATGCTGAGTTGACTTAAGTTATACATTTATAGTTCGAAGACATTTGAATCGTCTGACTACTTATTAATTTATTCTGAATAAGATTGCTAGTGCATGTCTGCCATTAGTTCGAGTCTGTAACGGTTTTGAAGTAAGTAATTTCGGGAGCGGGACTGTAATTTATGGATGGAACAAGAGTATCAAGTCGTATATTTTGGCGCAAATTCCATCCATTTCTACAGTTTATTAGCATCTTCAGTCTGGAAAGGAAAGGAGTCTGTGTGAGTCCTGGCATTGGTGGTTTCAGTTGATTCAACTTTTGAAAGCGTCGACGGATAAGGTTCCAATTACTTGTTAGGGTTGTGATTCCTATTCGTTGACGATTTGATGTGAAAGTCGATAGACAGTCAAGAAGTGGTTTGTTCTGGGCTTGTAAACTTCCTATGTGTCCTCATAAATTCTCTGTTTTGGAAGACAAAATGAGAGAATGTTATGCATTAAAACCTCACAGGATTAAACTGACCACTTGATGACCAAGTGTCAAATCCATTTAGCAATAACCCATTCACCTTACAATTTGAACTGTCGTAGGCCGAGCCAATCAACACCTCTTATCCTTTGAATATACAGTGGTCCTGAATGCTTTCAGAGGTATTTAAATATGGAGGCTCAATTTTAGCGGCTAGGTTGACTAATATTCTGGCTAAAATCTGGAGTTGGAGGAAATCCCATCCTACTGGTCACAATCACTTATTGTCCCAATATATAAAAAGGGGTCAAAATCATCCTGCGATAACCATAGAGGGATTAGTATGACTAACATAGCATCCAAAATAATAGCCTCAATAATTATCGGGCGCCTAACCAAGACCTGTGAACTGCAAACACAAGAAAATCAGGCTGGCTTCAGGCCTGATCGTGGCTGCATCGATCACATATTCACTACTTGCCAGGTTTTAGAGCACAGACATGTTTGTTGGTGTCCAACAATGATAGTTTTTCTTGACTTAAAAGCAGCATTTAACTCTAGACCGAGAGGTTCTGTGGAAGTGTTTGTCATTGAAAGCTGTACCTCTGAAGTACATAAACCTTGTGAAGGCTCTTTACTCGAACACTACCAGTCGAGTGAGAACTTATGACGAACTGTCATCTGATTTTACAACCTCAAGTGGTGTCCGTCAAGGTTGTCCACTATCCCCATTTTTGTTTAACTTCATTATAGACCTGTTGCTGGAAATAACACTCCGACTGAATTTTCAGGAATTGATCTTCTACCAGGAGGTTCACTTATCGACTTAGAATATGCAGATGACATAGTCCTGTTTGGTGAAGACGCTGGCAAAATGCAGTCTTGTTAGAACTGAGTAACAATGCCAGGATGTTTGGGATGCGTTTCTCCACATCTAAATGTAAATTGTTACTCCAGGACTGGCCTGCATCAACACTTGAACTAAGGATAGGGAGTGAAGTAGTCGAGCGCGTGGACAACTTCACTTATCTTGGAAGTCTGATCAGCCCTAATGGGTTGGTGTCTGACGAAATCTCAGCACGGATTCAAAAAGCTCGTTTGGCTTTTGCCAACTTACGTCACCTATGGCGAAGACGAGATATCCGTCTATCAATTAAGGGACGAGTATACTGCGCGGCAGTTCGCTCTGCTCTACTTTACAGCTGTGAAACGTGGTCATTAAGAGTAGAAGATACTCGTAAGTTACTAGTATTTGACCACAGATGCCTTAGAAATAATGCTCGCATCTGCTGGGATAACCGGGTAAGTGATAATGAGGTTAGACGCAAGATATTAGGAAATGATGGTAAATCAGTGATGAGGTGATGAATCTTCATCGACTGAGATGGTTGGGCCAGGTGTTACGTATGCCTGAACACCTATTACCATGACGCTCTATGATGACTGTTATTGGGGATGGTTGTAAGAGAGTTAGAGGCGGCCGAACCAAAACATGGCATCAGTGCTTGAAGTTACTAACTTCTAGCCTGAGCCATGTTGGTAGATGCAGACTACCTGGTTGGGATCCGCGTGACTATCGTAACCATTGGTTGGAGACTGTGACACGGCTGAGAATCGATCACACTGGCGTAGGTGTATACACTCTTTATCTTCCATTAAACCTTGAGATTAAAATTAATTCATAACGTTCTTTCCTATACTATATCCTTATATACTACCACCAGTAAATTAACTACTTTTACGAATCCGGTGTTAATCTTGCCGTGCAAATGAGGTTTGGCAACTTGGACCGATGCATAAATGTGCCTGGTCCTAAGTTGTAGCTGACTGACTGACTCTTATCTTTTGTATTTCAAGCGGTAACTGAAGCAGATGGTTTTCTTAGGGGGCCACACACGGAGCCTTTGACCTGAATGTCTGATCCACAAGGCAGTGGAGCATCGTGAGGAGATGCAATCTCATGGAAGCCGGTGATCAACGGTTGATTCGTACGCCATTTGTTCCCTCAGGATACTGGAGCCCATGTGCACCACTGGTTTGGAATCAGGGTTTTCCAACTCCCCTAGGTGGACCCTCCATGTCCACCAATCCGGTTATAGCGCCGGACATTCGCTTTTCGTCCTCTCACTTTCGTAAACAACACCCCGCCACGAGAAGGCAGTGAGTAGGACTTCCCTGACAGAGGCTATATATTCGCTGGCCGTATGAGAGCATTTCGAGAGGGAGAGGTGACTCTCCCCACTCTCGGCCGTACCAAGGCATTTGGGGGCTAAACACATAAATATTGGTACAAGGAAGCACCAGATATATATGCGCCTCACAAATCTCATTCGATTTGTTAGGCGCATATATATCTGGTGCTTCCTTGTACCAATATTTATGTGTTTAAATAAATAAATAAAGTGATATGTTCCACTTTTATGGGATGTTATCTCGAAATCAAGTTCCCTGCTAACTGCGTCGACCAAATTTCTGTGGCGGCGATTAAATCCGGCGTGGTAGTTTATCTGTATACCTAGCTCCGATCACTTGTGTAAGCTCAGGGCATTTATGTAGCATATCTGAAGACCTTTTAAATGTCCTTGTGCTTCACCCAAAGTGGCTTCGCCGTCGTTCTCTGTTAAAACCTCACTATTCGAAAAATCCTTGGCATTATAGCTCATGTCCTTTCGTGACGAAAACCTGTGCCGTAAATCCTAATTCCTTTTACAAATGTATAACCCTCTTTTGGCTCGAGGAAGTAGGTGAACTGTCTCAAAATCACTTGGGTTTGGCTCGTGGTTCGTCCATAAATTCTTTCACTATTCCGTCCACTAAAATCGAAGTAATGAAGCGTCGAAAAGTGTAAACAGAAGATTGAGGATCTGTTTAACAACAGTTTAGCGGTTGGAGCATTACATTTCTGATCGTTAAATTGGACGTTTAAGCTCTGTTCCGTCTGCTTCACTTTGGCTATTCTCGTATTATTGATAAAGCACTAAAAGTGTCTCGGGGGTTGAGTACATAAAAAATTCTACTTGGTTATTGAGTTATTTAAAAGCATCTATTCACCAGCTTAAAATGAGTATTAGTTGGGATTCAAGTACAGTAATCATTAGAGTACGTTCTTGATTTCCATGCTAGTTCCCAATTAGATATGTCAACATATTTATCGACTTATTTGAACGCATAAATATTGGTGCAAAGGGGCACCATATATATCTGCTCCACGCTGTGAACTCTGTCCCAAGTGTTTGACAATGGTTTGATTGATTTGTGCTCCTACTACAGAATAAAGCTGTTATTCATATTCCGAAAAGCCTGGACAGTGTCTCTGAATCCTACAAACCAGTAAAATAGTAAGATTATTCTCTTACAGTGAAAAATACCTCAACGTTCATTCTCATAATTTCACCTCACTGTCCTGACGTGCGGCGATTCGGATCGACATACTTTTGTGCCAGTTTCTTTCATTGTTGATGTTTGATTCAACAAATGTGCTGTCCTATGGCGAACCAAATATTTTATGGTGGTTTAGTGAGTAAAACAACTGAACTCCAACTGGTAACTCTCAGGTCTGAACGCCACTTCAACTACATCGGTTCGGTGAGGTATCGTCATTAGCCATCTCATAAATAGCGTAGCTCTAAGTTGAGCACTTAAAGGGAAATTTAATGAGTGAAAGTAATGTATGCTTCATAAATATTATATATCTTTTTCGTTTTTGTTTTGACTTTCATTCAAATGTATTTTTCTTACATTAGACATGTCGACGTGATGATGTATTAGTGGGTGTTATCAGTGTTATACAAGATTCAGGTCTTGTAGTCTCTATTCTGGCATATGATCAAGGACCTCGACGGGATTTTGAAGGTCTAAAGATCACGGTAATTGTTAATACTAACCTTTATGTGTTCTTTATCAGGGCTTTTGTCCATTGCGACAACTTCCGCGATATAATGCTCACGGCAACGCTTTGGACGCTTTTCAAATCGGTGACAAAGTTCGTGGTGAGTTGCCCACATGCTTTTGTGTTACTGATTATATGCTGGGTTACGTACTCTCGCTTATCACGTCAAGTGCAGAGGTTTGTATACCAAACAAGGTGTGTGTGTGTGTTGTATAATCTGTCTACATTTTCCATCTGTTTAGAAATAATTAGGGCATAAAACCACTACCTGGCAATTGAAAGTCTACTTTGCAAACCATTTAAGCTTTAAGGTGGATATTGTCGGTTAAGTCAAATCTTTGTGGTTCGTAATAGTTGTCTTTCTTGAAATTCATAATACACAATTCTATGCCACAATACCTAACCATTCAATAATTAACCAAAAATGCAACTCTAAACTATTACTGTCAGTTTGATGTCACTTTGAAATATAGTCAAGTGGATAATAAATCCCGAATATTTCATGACCTTTTACGGTCGTTTCCACTCACTATTTACTCAGTAAATAACAAATTAGTAGATTGATCATTTCTCTACAAACCACGTTGAATATGAAGTGATGTTCAACTTTGATTCATACACTACTGATAAGCCAAATTTATTATTCTCTATTATAGCATTTATTCTTGACATTCATGGAGGTGGACGTCTGATATTAAGCATGAATGCGAAGATGCTTAATCGTGATACTTATGGGGATCTGAAACTTGTAAGTAAAAGTTGAAATATCAACAACAAGTTGAAATCAATATTCAACCTATTCATTCTTCACTATCTCTACACGAATTCTTTCTCATTTTTCTAGGGTATCATAACGGATGATGATATGCCTCTGTATTACAAGTAAGTACACTTAAAGTCATAAAAATATTTATCCAGGATTTAATCACGTATTTTAAAGACAATTGCGATAAGGCTGTGACTCCTTGATGCAAGTGGTCGATTTTTAATTGAGTTGATAGTATTGTTGTTTCTCATGGTCTGGTATACAAATTAGTCTAAGGCTATCAAGGTATGCACGTCAGATGTAACATATACTGTAGTGCTGATATATCAGTTGTCACACTTTACAGCATAACAATAGTAAATCAAAAGTCAGAATAGCTCAAAGATTTCAACCACGGTGTCAGTCAGCTACAATGTAGGACCAGGCACATTTATGCATCAGTTCAAGTTGCCTTACGTCGTTAGCACAACATAATGAACACCGAATTCATAGTAGTTAATTTAGTGGTGGTAATATAGAAAAGAAAGATTGTATATAAGGATATAGTATAAGAAGGAAGAAAGATATGAAGCAATATTAATTTCAAGGATTAAGGGAAGACAAAGAGTGTATACACCGACGCCATTGTGATCGATTCTGAGCCATGTAACCTAGAGTCTCCAACCATGGTGTGGGGGACTAAAAAGACGGTATGGACGAGCGGATCTGGTTTCTGGAATTTGTTAATTAATACGAATTTAGTAGGACTAATATACTAACTTTTTTGACAGTAAACTTATAATCTACCATTAAGTTCAATAGTAGATTCTTTTGTACCTGTTGTTTATCGGTTTTTACGTTGATATATGTAACTGAATGAGATTATCGTCGAAAACGTTCGTTTTGATAGTGACATTTTTTGGAGTACATTACAGTCCGATGTTTTAATGCTGAATTAATTACAGTTTGGCTCATTTCAGTTCAATTGTGTTAAGTTACATCGCTTTTTTATTCTCAAGAATCAGTAATCATTTTTACTGAATTCGCCTTAAAATTTCACTTATATTGATTTTGTGAAATAGGAAACTTCAGAATTTGGATGGCAAATCGTATGAAGCCTACCTTGAATCAACACCACAATTTCGTAACCCAGATGGTCTTCAAGTTTTGTGCGCTCGCATGGGAATACCACGTTCATCAGCATGTAGTCTTCTATTTTGTATTAATAAGTAAGATTAATTAGCACTAATAATCTAGAGTCTACATAAAATTTTTGCTCATATGTTGACATCTGTTTTATGCATTGATTACTTGTTGAGAGATTCAGAAAAATCTCAAATCTTGTATTTACACTTGCCATACATTTTTATATAACTACTTTTTCCCCGTTTTTAGAATCCGATTACCAAAATCAGAGATGGCTTGTGAGCTTAGACGTACCCAGTTGCTAAATTTTTCAATGAAGCAGTAAGTGTTTATGTGTTAAGTGTGGTTCTAATATGATGATCTATAGTTAAAACAAATAACTGTCTTGACAGTTTAGAAAGCTTTCATATTAAACTTAGTAGTATAGCGGAGGATTAAAACTCCGTTTCAGCATCCCAATTCAATTACTATACAATCGACCTTTCTAATTTATCTTCACTTTATTATTAGTGTCGCTCAAGGTGTAAAATATTTCAAGGAAAGCCGAAACACTGAAGCTTTACAGTGTTACAATTTCGCGATTGAAGTTGAACCAACTAATCCTGATGCCTATGTTGCCCGTGGTGCTCTGTAAGTTACAACGTTCGTGTTGTTGAATTGCATATATGGTGTACATTTTTAACTGTGATCTGATAAAAATTGTACCTGAATTTCTATCGAAGAGTTTGGCTTTCTTTTGAAAGACTTGTGTTCTATTTTATATTACTTACGCCTGTTACCCCTCGAAAAAAAGCATAGACCGCCCACTAGCATTCTTCATCCAACTCTGTCTTGGTCAATCCTTTCCGGTTGTTTCGAGTTGCTATTCATCCTTTTCATGTCAACTTCCAATTCCCGATGCAGTTTGTTCTTCGGCCTTCTTTTCCGTTCCCCTCCAGGGTTCCAAATTAGCTCTTGCCTCGTGATGCAGTTTGAAGATTTCCTCAATGTATGTCCTATCCACTTCCAATGTCTTTTCCTAATTTTCTCCTCAGCTGAAAGCTGGTTTGTTTTCTCCCACAGTAGGCGATTGTTTATAAATACCTGTACCATACTGTCAAACGCCTTATCATAGTCAACGAAGTTGATGTATAGTGAGGAGTTCCATTCAATTGATTGTTCAACGATGATTCGTACTGTCGCGATTTGGTCGATACACGACCGATCCTTATTGAGTACTACAGCCTGTTGATCTCGAAGTTAAGCGTCTACTGAATCTTTGACCCGGTTCAACAACACTATATTGAAAACCTTTTCTGGTACTAGTGGTAGTGTGATGCCTCTGTAGTTTTCACATTCTCTCAGATCTTTCTTCGGTATCTTGATGAGGTGTCCTTCTTTTCAGTCTGTCTGTCACTTGTTCTTCCCAAATCTTCCTGAATAAAGCGTGGAGCGTGTTTGCAGTTGCTTCTATATTTGACTTCAGGTCCATCTGCTTTCCCACTCTTGATCTGTCTGGTAGGTATTCTGATCTCTTCGGTCGCTGGCTAGGTGACACCTATAGGAAGGTGTGTGTGTGCTGCTGTGATTGATCTAGTACTCTGTGGTATGGTTCGATGAGACCTATATCGATTTGTATTTGTGATAGTTACAAGAGGTAAAGAATCGTATATTAATGTTTGTTGATTATTGTCTGATTTGGTATCCCCTTCATTGTTTTATCGTTACATTTTTATTTGAGGCCTGCAAATATTAAAGCTTTCTGACTTTATGCAGTAGTATTTTGATGTGCAATCCTAATTTACTGTAAAATTTTGTTGAATAAAGTGTTATTCAACCATTTATTTTCACCATATTGGCCTTATTTGATTCCCTTAAAAGCAGTTTAATTTCTGGAGCACTTATTCAACAGTTTAAATAAAGGATTCCAGCCAATATGTAGCACCTATGGACTGAATAAGACTACTGGTTTTATTTCTGCTTTCCCCACTTCAGTTTATGCATCTGCGTAGTATCATTGACCCTCAGAATGTGATTCAAAGCCAAGTATACGATTTTGTGCCTGGTAAATGAGTTAGCGGATAGATGAATTTACCCTGTTAACTTCGGACTTTTAAAAGGAGTAGCTTTGGTGCCTCTTGTTGATATCCAGAGTACATTTTCTTATTTTTTACTCACTTCATATTCGTGTTAAAATTGTGCTTTAATAAACTGTCCTTTTAAATGTCACATTTTATCATTCGTTGATAAAGCTATGCCTCGATTGGTACGTACACAAAGGCAGTGGAGGATTTGGAGAAAAGTCTTGAAATCCAACCAAATCATGTTAATGCTAAGAATTATCTGGTTCAGACGTTAGTTGCATATGCTGGAGAGTAAGTTCATATTTCTTGTTATTAATAAATAATATAAGCATTACGTTATCTAATATAAATGTACATCGCTTCTACTTGTCACATCAGCCCGGTAGAGAAGAAAACTAACAAGTAGGAAAGCAAACTGTAAGTAGTAATAATGGTGAGAAGTTAAACAGTAGAAATATATTTCAAACGGGTTGTAAGAAGAAATATGTTATAATTTCTCTTATACGACCCAGCTATTCCTATTGCTTAATATTCTTGGACATCAATTCACTCGACAAGTCCCCGAATCAGAACATGGTTGAACAGGCCCCGCTAACTAAAGTGAGAAGTCCAAGATGAAGTAGAGGAAAATATATTCCGGAAACACAAGCAGTCACAATAGGAAGAAATCAAACGTCTATATACAGCATTACAAAATAACACACTAAAAAGATACAACAAACCAATAGTGTTTAAAATATTTCCAAGTGGGAAATACGACTCGAAGGTAAAAAGAGCGCCTTCGGTGCGAAAACAAAGAAATTCAAATTTTCAAAATAAAATTACAAAAAATAAGTCATTTATCAAGTGAGTTCTGGGGATTTAACATCCCCAACAGAAATAGCCAATCAGCGAGCACCAACACAATCGTCCACGGAACGTGCTTTATTCTAATCTACGCCCCTCTAAAAATATTCGGATTAACCCAACGGAATTAAAAACATGCCAAGTGAATAAATCTCTCATCCATTAGCAACAATCGGAACAAAGTATAAAACGGAAAATGCCAGTGTACTTAAAAGTCGCTCAGGCAAGTTGCAACATTTGTGGGGATAGCTTCATCATCCTTAGTAAAATAAAATGCTTTTAAACACTAGTTTTTTTTAAAAAGAGATCAATCGAAATTGTTTAGGCGATTTTTTATTACTTTCATTAAAGCATAAACGTGTAAAGACAATTTGATGATTGGAACTAAAATATTGTTAAGAGGATTATTACCAGTGTCACTACCTACTTCTTTCTGACCCATAGTTTCGATCAAACGAGTAAAGGTAATATTTCACAGCTCTCAGTTATTACTAACGATCAGATAGTCATCGGTTTTGAAAACCGAAGTTGTTAGTATTATGGCGTAGAAAAAGACAAATCTGAAAAGAGCTGGGTAAAGTAGCCCTATTGTGTATAGAATTGACATTTTGTTGTCAGAAATGTGTGAAAAATTAATGTTTCTCTGTTGCTTGTACCTTAAAAACTGGTATTTGAAAATACCTGTAAAGCGAATAAGTTTAGTATCATGCCATTACAAAGCTTAAAGGACATTTGTAGGAAGACATTTTCAGAGGTTCAGGTTTTGTCTGCTTTAAGACATTACAGATCCTAGAACAGTGTAGGATGCAATTTTCTAAAAATTGTTTATTCACCAGCTTATCAATTGAAAGGCAACATGTCAGAATGCTGGTATCTCAAAAAATGGCTTACTGCTAACAAGTATCTTTCCAGTATCCAGTTCGATTTCGCCCCATTTATTTATTTATTTGAATACATAAATATTGGTACAAAGGAAAACTGAATACGTATGCACCATTCAAGTCACTTGATTTTTGTGTGGGCTGGGATACTGCCTGGGTGCCCAGACCGAAGCAGGTGGTTTTCTCAGAGGACCACACTGAGGCCTTCGACCTAAAGGTCTAATCCACAGAGTAGTGGAGCAACGTTAGGAGATGCAGTTCCTTGGTAGTCGGTGACTAACAATAGGTCCATACATCATTTGTTCTCTCAGGATCTTGGAGACAACTCATCTAGGTGGACCCTTTGTTTCCACCAACCCTGTTAAAGCGCTGTACATTCACTTTTCATCCTCTCAATTTTGTAAGCAACAGTAATGCCACAAGAAGGCAGTGGGTATGACTTCCCTGTTAGTGATTGTGTGCACGTGGCCATGTGAGAGCATTTGGTGAGGGAAAGCTAACCTGCCCCACTCTCGGCCGTACCAGGGCTTCGGGGGCCTGTGTAAACTATTTACTCTTTTGGCTGGAAATCGTAATTAGTCTTTGAATTTTTTTATCCAGCCATCTTTTCGACTATGTACTTCTAATTACCAATTTAACCTTAGATGAGTAATTGACTACTGTGTATTACACTGTTATTTGACCTACACTTCTATCGGTGCTTCAAAACGGTGAGTTTAATAGCCTAAAGCAAATCATAAATGTCAACTGCCGAATTCTACTACTTTCGTGTATTATGCATCTCAAAAAGAAAACGCAATGACTACAGGTAATTTGAGTGAGTAATGTGATGAAAACTTCCTCGGTCCAGATCTTATGAAATATGCTTTTATTTTAACACTGTTTGACCAAATCTTTTACTTTGTGTGTAAAATATTTTGTTTTTCATAGAATTGGGCGTAAGGAAATAAGTAAGGCAGAACAATTAATAAATCGGGCACTTAAGTTGGATCCTGACAATAATGAAGCCCGAGATGCACTGAAAGAACTTCAAACTAACGGATCTCTCTCTACTAACAAGGATGCTGGTTTGGTACGTTGATAATAATATAAATAATAAACTTTCATATATTCTTATTGGATATTTTATTATATCGATAAATTGTGGTTCCTTTTTGTTGTACAGCGATCCTGGTCACGAACTCCTTCTCCACGTGGTTCAAGCCGAAATGTGGGTAACAAACGTGACCACACTCCTCTTTCTCCAACTGCAGTTCGTCCAAGTGCGGGTTATGCCACTCATATGGAACGTAGTAGAGCTGCTCTAGAACAGCTTGTTGAAGAAGATCGTAGTCGACGTGCTGCCAAAGAGGCTAATCGTCAAAACCACGCTCCCGACCAAAGCCCTCCAGGATTTTTGTCTCCCAGTAAGTAGAACATTTCTATATTATTTCTGTAACAGCCATATCACGGTCTACTGTGACACATTTGCAGATTGTTCTCGAAATTTCATTGTCTTTAACTTTTACTTTTAGATCGCTCTCATGAACGACGAAGAGGAGATTATTATCGCGATGATGTAAGCATTGTTTATCAGGATTATATCTTTAAATCTTGATATGAAGTTGAAAAACTCATATCTTTAACCAATGGCTTAAGTCATTCTTAGTAATTGTAATGTTTCTAGGATGTTCACACCATACACACACTAATTAAGTGAACTCATCTTTCTTACTTATTGCTAGCATGGATGCCGCCTGCTAAAGCCCGTAAAATATAAGTGTGTTTTCATTGCTAATACTAAATACTCTTTGCTTATCTGTAGGTTTTCTCATTTCACAGACAGTACATACATCTGCGCTGTTCAAACCGATTCTAAGCTATATTACCCAAAAAGTATTCAGCATGTATGTTGGTTTGTTCTCTGAGCTGGATGGTTTGGTCGTGGAGCTTTCATCGTCCTTCTGAACGACATCATCAGCACAAACTGATGATGTCGTTCAGAAGGACGATGAAAGCTCCACGACCAAACCATCCAGCTCAGAGAACAAACCAACATAAAAATCACCCACCTGAGCTACAAATCTTCTCCACCATCTCAGTATTCAGCATATAGTTTAACCTAACTTCTCGTTAATCATAGTTAATAGATATTAAACAAGTTTCCAACACACTAATCTTACAAGAAAAAATTAGCCAATTCGATGTTGTTGAACGGTTGTTCGAACTTGTCACTATGTAAGTTTTTTTAGATAGGTCACACCAAGACAATATTTTGTTTGCTAAACAGCATTTGTTAACACCACAATAAAAGTGATTATAACATTAGGATACTTATGTTTAACAGTTCTAGTTACTCTCACTCATGTGTTTTAGGATATCAGCTATATTATTTAAAGGGGATTGTTTATAAAATAAGTGTATTTACATAATTCACTGTAGTAAGTGTCAAGTGTTTTGACACAGAAAAGTACAAAATAACTAATCTGTTTAATATGCATGTTCTCATTTTTCATGTTTATATACATTCTAGCCCCATACAGTGACATAATCCCACATATGAATATTATTGATAATAATCAAGAACGAGTTTTCGTTTTTTACAGAGTCTAAAATTGTTCTATGAAGCACAGAAAACAAAACAGAGCGAAGTTGCTCTGGGAAATACTGATTATATGGAAATAATAGTACTATGTGTGTAAAAAAACAGTGATAAAAAGAGAGTGTGAGGATGGTGAAAGTATGCTGCTAATTCTTCATATATCTGTGAGTGTACCTGTAAATGCTGGTGCATAATAAATTACAGAAATGAGTTCAGGGGAGGGGGAGACTGTATCCATATTTCACCATCGGTGGGAACCAAGGAATTAACAGTCTTGCTTTAAAATCTCCATCACTATACTGAATTCTTATTATTATTTTCGGATCAAGAATTTCAAGTCAACTGGTTGTTTTTCTACTGGAAAAACAGGTGCTTTTTCATATTAGCTTTCTTTTTTAGCTACCAAATTTATTTTCTGAAGAAAATAATGGTTGCCGGTCATTATTTGTCATCTGAATAAAAGGAAGGAAGGAAATATCAGAAATGAAGAGTATTCATGAAGATCCTCTCATCGTTATTGCTAATTATCATTTTGAGTGTTTCGTCTATGTATAGTACTGATTTATTCTTCTTTTAGATTTAATAGATGTTTCATTGTAGATGAATAAAGGTTTTTAAAAAAAAATTGTGTCCGTAGAAATATATAGAAAAAAGTAACTATTATCATGTATTATTGTCTATCGCCTGATAATTGGAAATGCAATGAAGCCCCTCTATGACTAATTATTGATATAAATATCAGTATGTATACATATTCCCAAGAAGAATAGTTCTTTTCCAGCAATCTCTATGTGCTGATATGCAAGTTTATCCGTTCGTTTTTATTATTAAAAAAACCAAATAAACAGCGGGATTTATTGTTGTATCCTACATGGAGAATCATATTCTATGTATATTATTGTCCAGATAAAATCTTCTGGTGGTGGTGGTGGTAATGCTGCTATGGACAAAACGAATATGGATCGTGGTGACCTGTCTAAAATTGTAATTACTCGCAATCGAGTAAGTATATTTGTATATTCATGTTTTACCCTACAATGAACTGGTTCATCTCTGTATGTTTTTTAGTTATCAGGTACAGTCTCCTTTATTTTGAAAACATGTACAGCAAGAGCAATTGAACATGAAACTTGCTTTTTTCCGATTATTCAAATGTATTTCATGTCCCGAATTTCACTAATCAACAAAGTTTTTTGGAAATGTTTTTTAGCTGTATCTTTGCCAACTGTTATTTCCGTACTTTTAGAAAGTTGATCTAACAGTACAGTCCACCTAACGTTACCTCTCCTTTGTGTTGTTATATGCTAGTTATTGTGCTTGATATGTATGACTGATCACTTCTGAAGTTGAAGACAGTTGTCTGTCCAAAGCTTCTTGTATACTTTTAAGGAAATAAGTTTGATTACGTTGTCACATCTCACATCAGCGTAACAGAATGGAGCTAATAACATAAGACTTGAGTAATCAATATAGTAATGTAAAGTGTAGTGGTAAGTTAAACAAGCCACTTAAGGTTTTCTGTGATGGATTACGATTATCAGGCGAAATTCAACCAAACAAATTGTGTATCATCTGACATATCTTAATTCAAATAGTCAGTAATTGCATAAACTGATATGGTTCAATTTAGATTTTGATCTACAAAATTTTTCAATGTACTCAAGATCTGAAAATAAATGTTTTAGAAATCGGATAAAATTACGCATATTTTATTGCTATATTACCTGTTATAGGTGTTAGTATTTTTCAAAGGAGTACTTTTATGTTTGTAAAACTCCAAGATTTTATGATTCCGTAATTTAACTATAAACTTGTCATAACTGGTAGCCAAGTGGATGCCTTGTTAACGTATGACGGGACAAGACCGCCAATCAGAGAGCAGCGAATTATGGATTGGAACAGTGACACGCGAAAACCGTACAAACAGGCTAGAGTGCTTGTCAGTCCTGCTTCGGCCTAGCCCAGTCAGTTAAGTCCAGAACACCAATGTCAGACTCTGTGGTATGAATCATTATATTTCAAATATACTGAGTTTATATACCAATCAAACTGACCACATCGTACGATAAAATAGAAAATAACATGTGTACAAATGTGGCTGCGAATAGGGGAAACAGTAACTAGTAGACCAGGTGTAATTCATGAATGGTAAATCGTATGACAACAATCTATGGGTTAAAATAAAGCTCATGATAAGGGAAACACGAATATGAATAATCTAGTTATTTAGCGATTATACAATAAAAATTATATGCATAATATCGGTTCATAAATAGATTTTAAAGTTACCATTCCTTATTCTTATCGGAACATAACAAAACTAAATTGTATTAATGATAAGCTACAAAATATTAATTGTAATGTCCATAATTTTGTTTGTATTTTTAGTCCGGACGTATTATACGATGCAAAGATGATGATGAAATGGGTGATGAATCAAACAGGTGACTTTCTTGAGTTTTCATTAGTTTGTTATTTGTCCATTTATTAAGATTATTTTTCTGTGTGATCATCTATTATAGATAAGTATTCTAATGTGGTGCACATTTGTTTCTTTAATTGTGTGTACTACTATTTTTTGCTGACTGATCTTATTTTTCATGGAAAGATCTGAGAAGCAATGTTGGCGTTAGATATAAAGTATTTGACAAAGATGGCGAATCTGTTTATAAGATAATGAATTTTTGTTTATTGAGGTGATCAGGACGAATGTTATGTATCTTTAACCAATTGTTACCTTGACAAGCGACACTTGCTAGTGCATAAGTAGATTAAGAAACCTAGGAGTGCCAAAAACAGAATGTGATACCACTCTATGACTGTTGGACTAAGCCATTTTGGGTAGATACATAGTACGTAGTTAGGGTCTGCATAGTAACTGCAATCAGTGGTTAAAGATCTCAGGTTGTTTGGCTCAGAATCGTAGATGCATTCACTCTTCACCGTATTCTCAGTTTTGAACTACAGTATCCGTTCATGCAAGCCTTTCCACAATGTCATAGTTTCATTTCAAAGTCAATTATAATAGAAAATAAATGAAAAATCAGATTCTAATTGATAAGTCTAGTGTGTTTATATCTATAAATTGTTTTCTGTATAACGGTTTTTACTATTTTCTCTGTTGTATAGGTCAGAAGGGTTATGGAAACGTTCGTATGATGATGATCGAACTGGTAAGAGACTATTTTTTAAAGATTTATTTGTGTTATTGAACTTTTAAATCTTCATGACAGTCAATGTTGTCTTTAGTACCTGAATTTTGTTTGTATAATTGAAGAAGCTGTGACTTAATATGATGTTCTTCTGAATTCTTCATGTCTCTATCTTTTTCCTCTTTCCCAAATTATTTCACTGGATTATACTCCTTCAATAACATCTTCAAACCCTAATCTTTCACATAATGCTTATACTCTTACTACTTCTACCACTATGGGATTTGAATTGACAACTGCATCTCTCTGTGCTATTGTGGTATGGCAACTCGAACTGATGTACGTACGTACGAAGTTCTACGTTGTGACTGACAACTAACTGGCTAATGCGATGTTCTAAGATAATTTATTAGCTTAATCCTTTTACACTAGTAAATTTTTTCAGAGAAAAAGAAATATAACTGTTTTATCCTAACCTCAATCGCTTGATTTATTCATCAAAGAAGAGTTGAGATATGTTATTACAAAAGCATGTTGTTGTTCTAAGTAGTATGTGATGAAAACATAACTTGAAGTATGGTAAATACCACTTGACATACAAAATATTTGGATAATATCAAAATTCAAGTTTTTAAACATAGATTTACGTACTGTTATTTCACTGTTTATTCATTACCTTGATAATAGTCCATCTGATATCAGTTTCTAATCACCTTTTAGTGCTTAAAACTATTTAACTTTCAACTAGTAAATTGCCTATTTGGACCCTATTCTATACAACTTAGTTTTTATCAACCAGGTATTGTTACTAGCTCTTATAGTGAATAGTGTGATTCATAGCTAAGTAAAATCATCGCCTTATTTTTCAATACAAGCTTACTAGTATTTACCACAAGTTAAAATAACCTTAAACACTGCAAATATATGTCTATAATAAGGTATTAGTTACTTTCGAATTGTTCATTGTTTTTATTTATTTATTTAAACACATAAATATTGGTACAAAGTAGGCACCAGATACATATGCGCCACACAAATCTCATTTGATTTGTGTGAGGGCTTTGATACTGCCCAGGCGCCCAAACTGAAGCAGGTGGTTGGCTTAGGGGGCCACACTCCAAGGTCTGATCCACAAGACAGTGGAACATCGTAAGGAGATGTAGTCCCTTGGTAGCCGGTGACCATTAATTGCTTCATTCATCATTTGTTCCCTCAGGATACTATAGCCCATGTGCACCATTGGTTGGGAATCAGGATTTTCCAAATCCCTTAGGCGGACCCTCCATGTCCACCAACCCGGTTAAAGCGTCGGACATTCGCTTTTCGTCCTCTCGATTTCGTAAACAACAGTAATGCCACGAGAAGGCAGTGAGTAGGACTTCCCTATCAGAGGCATTATACGCGTGGCCATATGAGGGTATTTTGAGAGGGAGAGTGAACTCTCCCCACTCTCGGCCGTACCAGGGTATATACAAAGTGAACTTTTTATTGTTATACAAAATTAGTGACTTCATTATAATTTCATTAACACTACAGAATAGTCTCTTGATGTTTAATTTAAATTAAACTATCTCCCAGTCATCATATAAGTAAGAATAATTCTTTAGATATTTACACTTATGCAAAACTAAAAGCTTGATTGTTTCTTTGATTATCTCTTTAGTCATTCAGTATTATTTGTAGTGGACCATTGTTATAACTTTGTCAGTATTTAAAGACTAAATGTCGATTAGCATATCCTTATAAAACTATGCTGTTGTTACATCATAAGTCGCTTCAAGTTTGCTCTATGAAATTTTAATGTGTTAATTCTTTTGGTACTAATAGTAATCATGATAATTGTTCATCTCGTTTGTACAGTTACAAAGCATTTTTCTGGGCACTTTAATTCCAAGAAAAATATGTTGATAGGGCATAACATAAGCTACCTACGATTGTTATGCCTCATTATCTAATGTAGAGGTGTGAATATAAAATAGCCAAGTTACAATGGGTATTTGATTTATAACAGTTTCTTTCCAGATATTTACCGAGCATTTCGTCATTAATTCTTAATTCATTACAGGTCCGGATAATTCGAAAAGAAGTCGAGCAGATGGAGAATCAGAATATCGAAGCACAAGACGAGTAAGTTAGTAGTGTTTATATTCCTTAGTGCTAGAGTTACAGCATCTAGCCCGACATTTTCACACCTATTCTCTACGCAATCCTTAATATTTCTGCACTGTTGACGAGGATATATATATTTTTAATTCATGTAGAATGAGTAAAAATTTCATGTTCTTACTGGGTCACTCAATAGTTATTGATTGATTTGCTATTCTTCTCTAAAAACATTTTCCACTATCTGTTATTTTCGGCTAAATCCAATAAAATTATGGTTATGAATTTATAAGAATTCAATGTAGTAGTGGTCGATGTAGTTGTCTCACTTCTCCAATATCTTAAGAACGTCAGATGATAGTACCCGATTGCCTCTGAGTCAAATATTATGATTCCAAAATGTCTTGATTACCAATTTTCCCAGTCATTAACTAGCCTTTGTGACCACAGGGTCGTGTTAATGTGTTGCTGTTTCTGTTAAAACTTGAAAACGTATATTTGTTCGAATAATGTTTAATAGTTCGGTAATAGATGTATTTCACAAATACTGGTCTATGATGTCTGTGATATGCTTGAACTAAATCGATTCCGCGGTAACGAACGAAAGCCAATGACACGATAAGCTATTCTAATCTGTTGTCCCAGGCCCCGCTAACTAGATGAAGAAGTCCAAGGCAAGTAGGGGAATATATATGTATTCCTTAAGCAGCCGAGTACAAGCAATCAAATAAGGGAAAAAATCAAGCGCATTTATACAGCAACAAATTATCCTTGAGCATCATTAGTAAATAGCACAAACAAAGAAACAATGGACCAATAGCGTTTAAGATAGTTTACAAGTGGGAAATATGACGTGAAGGTAAAATGAGCGCGTTTGGCGCGAAAACAGCTAAATTCAAATTTCCAAAATAAAATTACAAAACTAAGCCATTTACCAAGTAAGTTCTGGGGATTTGACATCTCCAAAAGTCTGTTAATAACCATCTATGTTTTTAGTCTTAGCTGATTTAATAATCCATTCTTCATGTACTGCTGAATATTATTACTTACAACCGTAAGCAACTACCCAATAAAATGTACGTCATATGCACATGTGTTATACTCTCTTAATTGTATTTGTCAGGTATTTACACCTCCACGAAATGCACGTGAAGGGGAACATGGTTCTCTTACTGTATATGAGAATGAAAATGATCTTCCTATGACTTCTAAAAGTCTCCAAGAGCGTGTTCAAGCTCGTTTACGTGCTATAGAACGACGTCACCAATTGGAAGAAGGAAACAATCCTGGAACTACTGAAATTACTAACGGTGCACCTATTAGTCAGGAAAAAAATCGTGAAGGTTCTCTTGCAGTCGGAGACGATGCTCCACCATCTGAATCTCCCAAAGGTGATAGAGGACACTTTCGTGGGAATGGCCCATCAAGCATTGATCGTCGATCAGGTGGTTCATTTCAGCGTCCTGAATATCATGGCAGCCGTGGCAGTGGATATTATGGAAGGAATCGTCCTCGTGGAGGTCCACGATGGCGTAATCAATGGGATGATTATCGTTTGCGCCGGAATAACTGGCACAATCACCGGTTAGATTAAATATTTTATCATGTTGCTTCATGCAGATTTGTAGGTTTTGTTCTTTTTTTGTATATGCATATATAAATGACTATACATAGAAGGTCAAGCGAATGTATAATATCCTTATATTATAGTATTTTTTGCCCATGTAAAATTGAAGTGCAAATAATTTTTTCTTCCCATCAGAATGTACTTTTATTTTATTCCATTACTTTTTCTGAACACAAACATTGGTACAAAGGGGTACCATATACATATGCGCTATACAATAACAATGGGGCTGTGAAGAGAGAGGGAATGTGAAGTGCAACTAATAAAAGAAGAACAACGACGAACAGAAATTAGTGTCTGAGAGTGTAATAATAATATTGGAATAGACAGTTCAGTTAGCAACAATATAACCAGAAAGAATTCTTTCAACTAAAGAAATTACGTTCATTTTTATAAAAAAAGCAAAAGAAAAGTGCAACAGGATCACCATTAGCTTCTATTCTGAGCCGTGTGTGATTATGTTTCTATCCACCGTGTTGAAACATCTCTAAAACCCCAACCAGGGAGTCGTGAATGACATAGAAGCTAGTCCTGTACAGCTTTCTTTCATATTATGACACCATGTCATACACTGACCACCTCTCCGCTTTTTCCAACCAGTCCCAGCGTCACCAAACAATTCACGACGTGGAATTCTCTGGGACGACATTCGTAGAACATGTACAAGCCACCAAAGTCGATGTTTCAAGATGGTAACACCAACTAAATTGTTGTCACTGGGCTCAAACACACGATGCCCAACCTCTACATTACTAACATAGTGTTTTCACCAGATAGTCAAACACAGAGTCATCTAACATCCTCAACTCAGAGAGTTCAGGTCTCACGTGCGTAAGGAGAAACTGCTCTCACCGACGCGTTGTAGACCTTTTACAGCGCCAAAGGTGGCCCAGATTGGTATAAGCCACTCTAGCTTTCATTATACGTAAATTGATCTCATCACTCATGCCACCGCCAGCACTTATGTAGCAGCCTAGATACATGGACTTCTCGACTACTGCTATGTGCTCACCGCCCAGGGTGAGTGCAGGACCACGGTCCTGTCAGTCTTGTAGAAGTACTTTGCACTACGAAGGTGCAAAACACATACCGTAAGAATGGACGCTGGTTGCTAACTGATTAAGTGCCGATTGCATGGTTTGGGTATTTCCGCGCACTAAGACAATATCATCCTCATGCTCAATGTCGGAAAGTCTCTCTCCAGGCAACAGATCCACACCGCCATTACTTACATCCATCAGAGGTGTTTCCAGAATATCATCGATAGCAAAGTTGAAGAGGAATGGTGAGATTGGGCAACCCTGTCTAACCCCATCGCTTGAATTGAACAATGGAGAGGGGTGGTTGTATGCCATCAATCCTCCAGAGATGGTAATAAACTTCTCAGGCACACCCTTCTTCAATAGACGATCCTAGATTACGGTTCTGTCCAACGAGACGAAGGCAGTCCTGATTTCAAGAAACACTACGATTATTAGCCTGTGATAAGTATGACGGTGTTCTAACATTTGGCGGAGGGTGAAGATATGATCTATTCATCATTAACGAAAATCAACCTGCTCCTCGCGAGTCAATCTTTCTCGGATTTTGAACAGCCTACGAAATATGACAGAAAGCAATAGTTTGGATGTAATCGGAAGTAGACTTATCCCCCTGATTGTTGTTACAGGAACTACGTGAACCCTTTTTAAAGATAAGGACAACTATCGACTCATTCCATAACGGAGCACTTTAGCTCCCGGACCTTTGTAAACAGCACAGTTCCTTAACCAGAAAGTCACTACCATCTTATGAAAAAACCAGAGGTAAGTCATCTGGGCCCAGTGATTTGTAGCGCTTTGAGAGTTGGAGTTCCTTGCTGACTTCCGCCTCATTTGGTGGATCAGTTGTCACAGGCTGTGGAGGGAAGGACAGTCTAAACTATTTTGCTGAGGCAGCAGACCATTTGAACTACTACCCAAGACGTTGGTAAATGTTAGGGACTGGCATCCCGTCATCTCCAGAATTTTTTTCCTCACACCAGACTACTTGCTGCCAGTGGCTCGGATGAGTTGAAAAAGCTTCCTGCAGTTACCAAATGCAGGTGCTTATTCCAACGTTGCGTCTATTCAATTCATTTAATTTGTCCAAACCTAATTAGCATAGTGTTTTATTTTGTTTATATCTATACCACACCCATTTTCCAAGTGAATTTCATCTCCAATTTTCTGAAATTAATACTGAATAATTAGTTTTTTTACTTTGTGTTTATCGTGTGAACTACTACTGTTTTAAGTTTACTTTGATATCATTTTTAACTCAATTTTGTTTTATTTACTGCATACAGTTATGATGACCGTAGACGCGATGGTCCGTCGGCTAGATCCGGCAGTGCCAGTAACTTTGAACGTCGCAGAAAACGTTATGGAACATCTGGATCTGCTGAGCGCTCACCTCGGTCTTCTCGTTCACGTTCGAGGTCACGATCACACGTTTCTAAAAGTCGATCGCGTTCATATTCACGGAGTCCGCGATCATCACCTCGATCACCATCACATTCACCGATTCGACCTGGTGCTCGTGGGAGGTAATTTAAATTTTTCATTCTTAAAGAATCTTTTTCAACAATTTTCACTAAGGCTGTAGCAAATTAAGCTTTGTTTGATCTCCAAAATTATTGGAATTGTGTTGATATTTCCATTTTTCTCCCTTTCAGAGTAATATCTCGTGCTCGCATAAAAACTCCCCCTCTTGCCCCACTAGTTACGAGTTTCAGGCGTAGTGAATCAGATGAAAACCTAGCCGAATTAGACCAATTTGTTGCACAGTTGAAGGCTAAAAGACAATTACAACAACAATATCAACAGCAACAGTACATGGCCCAGTTTCAAGAGATGCAAGGTCCGATAGTCAATACTCCGGTTGTTTCTCAAACTCAACAAGATCATAGTCAAATGGAATTAGAGTCTGGACATAATAGTCCATCTAAAGGTGGTGGTGGTGCTTCTGCAAATAATGAATCTCTTTATTCAGATAAAGATGATACACAAAATGATTACAACTACAGTCGTCATCAACAGGACTCCCCAGAACCTCCTCAAGCACAATCTCCACCTCCACTTGATGATTCTATGAGGGAAGAGAATGTTGTTGAGAACGCAGCTTAATACGTTTTTGAACATGTGTAGAATTGTTCATGAATCACTGTATTTTTTGCATCTATTATTATTCCATCTTGAATTTTAAACTTTTTATTTTAAAAAAGTCCTGTGGATAAAAAAACAATCATGTTCATTGTTTGTTCACTTCTAATGATGATATGAAATGAACAAATTACAATCATATAAATAGAGCAAAGTTAGTCTCTATTATTTCGTGTTCTTCAATACTATTATAACTAAATAATCTGTGTGCGCCTGGTTAGTCAGTCAGTCAGTTACAACGTAGAACTTCGTACGTACGTACATCAGTTCGAGTTACCATATCACACTAACACAGAGATGCAGTTGTCGATTCAAATCCCATAGTGGTAGAAGTAGTAATCCGAAGGATTAGGGTTTGAAGATGTTATTGAAGGAGTATAATCCAATGAGATAAATTTGGAACGAGACATGAAGAATTCAGAATATTAGAATTTGGTAGTACACAATGAGTGAATGCACCTTCGCCATTGCGAACGATTTTGAGTCGTGTCAATCAACGTCTCTAACCATCGATTGCTATCATCTCGTGGATCCCAACCAGGTAGTCTACACCTACCAACATGGCTCAGTCCAGTTGTCAGTGACTTCTTTCTTCCAACCTACACCTGGTTAGTGAAATTGTTTGTTTATGATTCGCAAATAACTGTTTTCAATGCGTTTCTCATTATGATCTATTCTTTAGAGTTTGACATCAATAAACTATGATTAATACGTAATATTGGTTGAAAATTCAACATGACATCTTTTCAGTGATCTCTATGAAGTACAACTTGTTATGCTGAAATTTCTAGCCAGAAATAATACAAATTAGACCATAGGAAAGTGCTAGGAACATGGCCATTAAGAGTGGAAGATACTCGTATGTTACTAGTATTTGACCACAGATGCCTTAGAAATATTGCTCGCATCTGTTGGGATCACCGGGTAAGTAATAGTGAGGTTAGACACAGGGTATTAGGGAATGAATGGTAAATCAGTTGATGAGGTGATGAATCTTCATCGACCGAGATGGTTGGGCCACGTGTTACGTATGTCTGAACACCGATTACCACGACGCTCTATGATGACTAGTATTGGGGATGGTTGGAAGAGAGTTAGAGGCGGCCAAACCAAAACATGGCATCAGTGCTTGAAGTTACTAACTTCTAGCCTGAGCCATGTTGGTAGATGCAGACTACCTGGTTGGGGTCCGCGTGACTATCGTAACCAATGGTTGGAGACTCTAAGTGACATGGCTCAGAATCGATCACAATGGCGTAGGTGTATACACTCTTTATCTTCCCTTAAACCTTGAGATTAAAATTGCTGCATATCTGCCTTCTTTCCCATACTATGTCGTTGTATACAATCTTTTATATATTGCCACCATTCAATTAACTACTATGAATCCGGTGTTCATCTTGTTGTGCTAACGAGTTATGGCAACTAGAACCGATGCATATGTGTGCCCGGTCCTACGTTGTAGCTGACTGGCTAAGAATTAATATATCTACTGAGTTATTAAAATAACCCGTCTATATGTATTCAAAGATTATGAAGAGATATCGTTTATCACCCCAGTTTCTTGTCGCTTTGATGGAACCATCGAACTTAACAGCATATAAACTTCTGATTATCAGAATGTTGATGCGATATCGTAGGAGTTGTCCTCGTTTTTAAACGTGTTTCAATGTTGGCACTTGCGGTGTAGTTACGTGAAAGGCCTTAAAGAGAAAATGTTCAAGTTTATCATCCAATTACTAAATCGACCAAACTATGTGTTTCAATTTCTGATTAATCCTAATCCTCAGTCAAACATATTTACACGATATAAATACAGTACACCATCAGATTTAGGTATATAGCTTTGCAGAAATTTATAGCCCATTAAAAAACCCAGGTAACTAATCACTGTAGGCAGGAATATCCATAAAACTACTGTTAGTACCCCCATAAGTGGCGGATTGATTAGCCAATAAATATCAGTATGTTCAAGTTTGTGCACAAGTGCATTTAAAGTTATTCAAGCCCAATGGTATTGTTTGAAATTGTACATTACATAAATGGTGAGAAAGTATTGTGTTTCATTTGTTACCCTGTGTTCCATGTAAGACCATTTATCTTTAATTGTATTCACGATAACTCACACTAAAAATATACTGCGTTCAAATCAAAACAAGGTGTATCATTTAAACAGATCATCTGTTGTAGGCATAAGAATACGCGAATGGTCTAGTTCAAGGCCATAGTTTTTGAACAAAATAAAGATGGGGGTAATAAATCAAGTTAAAACTGTTAAGGTGGACTACCAAATAGTTACTGCTATTAATAAGAATGTAGACGAACATCAACTCTGAGATGCAGATTCATCCAGCTGACGAGTCCCTAATAGGACGAAACGCGCGTCCTGAATTCCTCTGCTATCCACTATCCATCTTTGCTTAAAATATTAGATTATTCCGAAATGAAACACAGTTGTATATGAAGTCCACCACAAACAAACTTCCCTTTTAATAGATTATAATCTGGCTGTTCAAAATAGACATACAAAATTACATAACTAAGGTAATAACAATTTGTTCCTAACTTCAAGAAGTTACAGTATTTGTTGAAAGTACGTACATTTTTAGTCAAACGTTTAGGAAAATACGTTTTCGATTGATCATAAAGGAAAAGGATAGAGATTAAAAAGCAAACACGTTTTACACTATATAAATAATATCCCCTCTTTCATTAATAACTTTTATTAATATTTATCCTTATCAGCGTGCATCCTTCATTTTGTATCCGCGCCTTATTTAATGTGAACAGATCAAACTTTCGAAATTTGGGTGAAATTAAACATTTACCCTCAAATGCCCTGGTACGGCCGGGAGTGGGGAGAGTCCACTCTCCCTCTTAAAATGCTCTCACATGGCCACTGACACGGAAGTCCTACTCACTGCCTTCTCCTGGCACCCATGTTGTTTACGAAATCGAGAGGACGAAAAGAGAATGTCCGACGCCTTAACCGGGTCGTTGGACACGGTTGGACCCTGATTCCAAACCAATGGTGTACATGAGCTGCATAATCCTGAAGAAACGAATGGCGTATGAATCAATAGTTGATCACAGGCTACCATGGAACTTCATATCCTCACGATGCTCCATCGCCTTGTGGATCAGACCTTTAGGTCAAAGGCTCCAGGTGTGACCCATTAAGAAAACCAACTGCTTCAGTTTGAGCACCTGGGCAGTATCACAGCCCTCACACAAATCAAATGAGATTTGTGTGGCACATATTATATCTGGTACTTCCTTGTACCAATATTTATATGTTTAAATAAATCAATAAATAACCACTTTATTTAAGGTCATTTATTATAATTAACCGGATAAATTAAATCAAACAATTTTTTTGGTTTTAAAAAGAAAATATACAATAATAATAATTTATGAAAACAACCTAACAAATAAAAAAGTATGCAGAAGGAAGTTATTAAACTTGATTATAGTCTATGTATGTGTAACTATTATTGTTGTATATGTCAGTCAGCTACAACATAGGACCAGGCACATTTATGCATCGGTCCAAGTTGCCATACCTCAACAACAACAAGATGTTGTATATGTAACTATGTGAATTACACACAGTTTACTATCGTTTGTCAATGATTCAAAGCTTAAATTTTTTTAAAAAAAGCAGAAAATAATAAAGATAGAACTATGAAGTTTTTTATGGAATCGTTGAAATGATATTCTTTTGACGTCCAAAAGGTCCAGCAAATAAAGCAAGTTTTGATAATGGAACACCGGCGTTAAATAATTCCGGGATATGTATTTGACTACGATAATAGTTGATTTTATTTTCAAATACCTAGAAAAATACGAAAAAAACAAAGAGGTGATTGTAAAGTTGTTGCTAGGTAGAAAACAAACAACCAAAATTGGGTCCCGTCTTTCTCATCGAGTGGTCAATGACTGGAACGCATTATCCGAACAAGTGGTATCAGCCCCATCAGTGAACATTTTCAAAGAGAAGCTAGACCTTCACTGGAAGGCAATCTGTCAGGATTAACACAGGTTCATCAACCTACTCTCCTCCTTATTACTGAAGACTAAAAGCAAATAAAACCAAAACTGTGTTGCTTTCAATTCTATTCCTATTCATTAATAAGACTTCGACTTTGTTGTAAAATGTTCCTACTTAAATTTCAAATCAGATCATGTATTGCATTAAGTTAAGGGTTTACTACCACGCTGTATTTATATATTGAATATATTTATAACAGAGGAATGTGATGGTGATGTTACTTGGCTTGTAACTAATAAGTCACAAATTCGACCTCTTGCTCTATACTTAGGGTAGCTCATTAGCCTTTACATAACATAGCAAGTGGATCGAATTCATAAACATGCAATTATTAATCGAATTACATTATATGCGAAAACCAATATCATAATCTCCTTTTCTGTTAGTGATATTTGACGTCGGTGACTAATCAACCAGGTTCTGAGTTATTTATAACGGGATGATTAATCAGATATCATGGTTTGAATAATTTTTTTCTGGTTAGCGTTTTTTTAGCGAGTTGGTTTTCTACGGGATGGGGTCGCTAACCCCATGCCCAACCCTCCTCCTTTACCCGGGATGGGACCGGCAGTAGCCCCAGGAGGAGCTACAGGTGGATATCACATATGAACTTAGACAACATTCGATGAATAAATCTGATACTTGATGTTGGAAAAGTTGCACACAAATATACATACATACGTTACGTTACTAGCCATTTACACAAATTCCTTACAGTGAAGTTACATAAATTCAATCCTCAAGAAAGGAAATGAAAATAATCAGTCTAAAACCCTTACTACCTTATTTTAGCCCATGATTATATTGTATTAATTACGAGTTACATTAATATTTTAAAATTTGCATTTCGTGCCAAAAGTGAATCCGAAATGGAAACTTTAACCACCTGTATAACATGATTCCTATTACCATCGATTGTCGCTTTGATTAACTTACTTGGTGTTGCCTTTCTTGGGCCAAATGAATACCATTTATACTGTCTCGTGTACGTGTATATTATTTGTAAGCCGTTGTGTAACATTTGATCTTTAAAAATCTAGTAACATCTATTCTTGTATTAGTATGGAATATTGTTTATTCCGATCAAAATTACGATATTGTAAACAACATTATGGCGTTATTTCAGTTTAGAAGAAAGATAGGAACCCATTTTTATTCAATACTTGGAAACTTTGATTACGTAGAAATAACACCCTTTCGTTTATATTATGTCCAATACTTGAGGTCCTATCATAATCTTAACTATATTATGCAATATCATTTCGTTTTTATTGACTTCCACTTGAATAAGTTTAAATATGCTCACTGGTAATTGGCTTCAAGAGATATTTCCTGGAGTTCTAGTGAGAAGCAGTGACCAGTGGAGTTCAGTCGGGTTTGTTGTGAGATAGTAACTCACTTAAGACATTGGTGAATGGTTGCTCGATTTCATGGATTGGTTGAAGTTAGACATTAAAACCGTTGCATGACGGCCGGCTCAGTGGTCTAGAAGTTAAGAGTACGCGAGCGAGACTCATAGGTCCTAGGTTCGAACCTCGTGAGGTGGGATCGTGGATGCGCACTGATGAGGAGTCCCGCAATAGGACGAAACGGTCGTCGAGTCCTTCCAGGTTTTCCATGGTGGTCTAGCTTCAATCGACTCATGATTTCAACAATAAAATTTTGTACAACTCCTCTATTTTGCTATAGACTACAATTTGTGAAAACTACCTATAAATACGATTGTACAGCTTCAAAAATGATATCCGTGACAAGAAAATTTGTTTCGCTAAAGCGTTTTTATTCTTTTTAAAGTTCTTGTCACTTTCTTTGATTATACCAATTATTTATATCAAAAATAATCATCTGATTGGTATAGAAACAGACATATCATGGAACTAATTGATTGTAAAACAATTGATTAGTATACCAAACAACTATATGGGATCCAATTTCATTTAGTATTGTTTGTTTGAATCTCCCCAATGATGTTTAAGGACTGCAATTGGTCAATCTCTAATTGGCATATGTGCATACTGTGCGAATTGCCTCGATATTGCCTCAATTGACAAGCATTGTAAGCAAAGATGTGTATTGGCTAGTAGTGGAATGCAGGACACTTGTTTCGACGTATTTGGGACTGGTCAGTTGGATGTAGCTGCATCTCGGAATTGATGTTCACTGTGGGACTGCAACCCAATACCTATCGCTTCAAACGTCATCGCGTTATACACTCGGCCACTGATATGGGATATAGTTCTATAATTGATTCCTAGAATTATTGATTTTAATGGTTCCATCTAGTATGATTAATGCTGTTTACTTGATTTGAAATTTTACTCTATTGATTAATAATTCTGAACTGAGTTAACTACAGCTTAGTCTAGTCAAACATCTAAAGAATTTTTTGGGTGGTAATTTGGTTACCATAAGACTTGTATTACTATCATCATTAGTAGTAGTTACTTACTTACGCTTATTACTTATTATTATTACGCCGACGATTAGTAGTAGTAGTAGTAGTAGTAGTCCAATTGAAAAAAGTTTCTTTCTTAAAAGCTCATAAATGAATTATCTTTCAAACCGACGGTTGTAATATTGAGTTATTTATTTTCCCTGTTCAATAAAAGATATATCTCTTTAAATTTACCAACCTTTATATACATATTCCACAGTGTTAAAGAGCTTGATGTAAGCCATATATTGGTTGCACTGGGTTAACTGCATCCATTCTCTGTTTTTTCCTACTAAATCCTGAGATGTCACTCATAACTTTCTTTTTAAACTGAACTTTCAATTTTTAAATTTCCTCTGTGCGATTAGGATTATTTGTTCTACATCACTTGTAGACCTCTTCTCTTGTCAGTGTGCTGATATGAGGTGTGGTAACCTTTACTGATAAACATTCATTTCAAAAAATACGCTAATGATTACTGATTAAATGCCTATAAGAGACCTTAGAAGACTTTTCCACCTTCAGCGAAACTTGTTGCATTCAACAAAGTGTACTTATCTATGAATATACCCACATCTTTTAATTTTGATATATCACAGTTGGATGTTTTTTATCATCATCATCATTGTGAATTATACAAACATAAATAAGTAATACCAGTAAGAAAGAAGGGAGAATACTATTTATCATAATAGAACTTCACTTACTCCAATACTTTTTGGTATCATTTGTGATGATAAATGCAATAGATGATGATTGATATATAAAACATTAGCAGCATGATCCTCTGGTAATGTGATCACTTTATAAGTATGTGAGGCTACACGACCAATTTCCTAAAAATTAAATATATTTACAAATAGAATAATGGTAGAGCACAAAAACTTTTGCACATTAGCTAAACAACATACTATTGAGAGTGAAAAGTAGGATCAAGTAAAACAGTGAATAAATTTAAAAGTATGGAGAGAGTAAACAAAATAGTCCCCAGATGTCCTGGTACGGTCGAGAGTGGGGAGAGTCCGCTCTCCCTCTCGAATTACTTTCACATGGCCACGCGTATATAGCCTCTGTCAGGGAAGTCCTACTCACTGCTTTCTCGTGGCATTACTGTTGTTTACCAAATTAAGAGGACGAAAATCGAATGTCAAGCGCGTTAACCGGGTCAGTGGATACGGAACGTCCACCTAGGGGAAATGGAAAACCCTGATTCCAAACCGATCGCGTACATGGGCTCCAGGATCCTGAGAGAACAAATGGCGTATGAATCAATCGTTGGTCACCGGCTACCATCAGACTTCATCTCCTTACGATGCTCCACTGCCTTGTGGATCAGATTTTTAGGTCGAAGGCCTCCTAAGAAAACCACCCGCTTCGGTTTGAGTACACGGGCAGTATCACAGTTGTCACACAAATCAAATGAGATTTATGTGGGGCATATATATCTGGTGTCCCTTTGTACCAATATTTTTGTTTAAATAAAATAAATAAATACAAAACTTTTCGACTCTGTAAGGAAGTTTACAACATGTGCTTGAAGCTTGAGCAACAATAGTAATCTTCGATTGGAAACTTTGGATGGAATGATTACTAAACTTGTTACAATTGTATTTATACTGAATAATTCTCTGAGTTATCAGCCTATTGTCATTTAAATACTCGTTATCCTTGAATTACATTGGTCCTTTTGAGAAAATAAACTCAATGGAATAATAATTTAAGATTTTACAACTATTACAGCAGTTTTATGGTGTAGGAGTAGGTTGGAAGAAAACTAGGGGCGACCAGACCAAAACGTGACACAAATCGATGAAGTCACTGACAAGTGAACTGAGCCATGCTGGTAGGTGTACAGTACCTGGTTGGAATCCGCGAGATGATAGCAATCGATGGTTAGAGACCTTGAATGACATAACTCAAAATCGTTTGCATTGGCGAAGGTGCATCTACTCTTTGTGTTCTTCCAAGCTCTAATCTTCTGAATTCTTCATGTCTCTATCTTTTTCCAAATTTATTTCACTAGATTATACTCCTTGAATAAAATCTTCAAACGCTAACCTTTCGGATTACTGCTTATACTCTTACTACTTCTACCACTGCATCTGTGTGCTAATGCGGTATGGCAACTCGGACTGACATACGAAGTTCTACGTCGTGACTGACTGACTGATTACAGCAGACATCATTCGAAGATACGTTGGAAATTTAATTAGTTCAATCACGACAGACTAATTTAGTAACTAATATTTCTTTATAAGCAATGTTTATAGGACTATATATTGTCAAATTAACAAGTTATTGTCAAATGACTGAAGACATTCACCAAGAAACCATGAGCCTAAATTTCACGCTATTTTCCACTTCTTAGTAAAACGTATCTGTAATTTCAAAGAAACTGATGCTTCCTTAGGGATTCGAATCCACATCATGCAGTTTCACTGGATGAGACATTCGTAATGACTTGTATAGATCACTTAGATTACTGACCATAACACAGTTTAATTGATAGAACATTCAATGCAGAAAATTCAATTGAGCCATAAATTAAACTTTAACTATTTTATTTATTTGAACACATAAATATTGGTACAAAGGTGCACTAGATATATATGTGCCACACAAATAATTGTCATTTCATTTAATTGTGTGAGGGCTGTGATACTGCCCAGGTGCCCAAACTGAAACAGGTGATTTTTTTGCCGGGCCACACTCCGAGCCTTTGAACTAAAGGTATAATCCATAAGGTAGTGGAGCATCGTAAGGAGATGCTGTCCCATGGTAGCTGATGACCAACGCTTGAATAATACGCCATTTGTTCTCTCTGGAGCCCATGTGCACCATTGGTTTGAAATCAGGGTTTTCCAACTCCCCTAGGTGGGTCCTCCGTGTCCATCAACCCGGTTAAAGCGCCGGACATTCGCTTTTCGTCCTCTCACTTTCGTAAACAACACCCCCGCCACGAGAAGGCAGTGAGTAGGACTTCTCTGACAGAGGCTATATATTCGCGTGGCCATGTGAGAGCATTTCGAGAGGGAGAGTAGACTCTCCCCACTCTCGGCCGTACCAGGGCATTTGGGGGCCATTACCTTACTTATGATAATGTAATTACTTTTAAATAAATATAAACTTAATGAAGATTGAAAACTTTATCACTACTTGAATTTAATACATTTCATTATTAAAATAAAACATTTATGCTTTGAACAAACTAAACAACTGTATAGATGTAGTATCTATATTTTGTTAATTAAAAAATAGATATACTACTTATTAGTATATACTATACTATACTATATACTACTTATTCCCGACCGTTGCTGCTACCTTGACGTGGTGGTCGGGCTTGCCTATCGTGATGATCCAATCGAGCTATGCTGGCTGGAACAATCGTTCCTCAAGGTCCTACCATGCCAGACAGGTCGATTGAAGAGCGGTGAGACTAAAAGCAGCAATCCCAAGGTCCGAAGGCGAAGTCGTACTGCTGACTGTACAGAGGTGTGAAAGCAGTAAGGTGTTTCCTTCAGACAACCAGCATGACAGCGATGCTGCCTTCCCACAAGGAGGGGTGGGGTTAGAAAAGGTCGACCCTAAAAATGCACACCTCGCCTTATCCCACGGATTTCCGTCTCCGGCGGTAAGGACTTTTGAAGAACGGAGCTAACACGTCAAAAATCCCCCACAAAAAGGCCGTGCGTGACCGGCCTCAAGCAGATGTCCCTTGGGCACTGCGGTCACGCACCCAGGTCGTTAAGACCAACACTAATCCAACTTCTTTTTCAGGTCCCTCAAGAAATACCCTTCCACGGTGTGGGCAGCCGGGAAGTGATACTAGCCCTCATACCCTTAGCTGCACACAAGACCAAGTTGGTCGCTTTCAAATCCTTCCTACACCTTCTAATAACTCTGTTATCTCCACGACTAACCCTTCCCACGTCCTTTTATCACCTCGCACCGCTAGGGCAAACGATTCGAGTACACAGAACGTTATTTCTGGTCTCCTGAAACCACGCTCTAAACTACATATAGGAACTTTTAATGTCCGAACATTGTGCCAAATAGGACAACAGGCTTCCTTAGCTAGGACTCTAGAATCTTACACCATCGATGTGTGCTGCGTCTCCGAAACGCGCATACAAGATCCGAGTAGTGTCATTCATTTGACCTCACCTAATCAAAATAAAGTTTCATCTCGATACACGCTTCGTGTATCTGGAAGCCCTGACGCTGCTTCCCGTGGCCTCGTTGGAGTAGGTATAGCATTAAGTCCTAGGGCAGAACTAGCTCTTTTAGACTGGATCCCAGTAGACAGTCGTCTATGCGCTGTCCGACTAAACGGATCAGTAAGGACCGGGAAAGATAGGGAAACTCGTCGTTGCCTATTCGTCGTCTCTGCCTACTCTCCCACTGACTGCAGCTCAGACGATATAAAAGATGAGTTTTACAGAAAACTTTCTGACCTTCTCCGAGAAGCTAGGCGTTCTGATGTTGTAATAGTAGCAGGTGACTTTAATGCTCAAGTAGGTAAACTAAGTGAAAGGGAAAGACACCTGGGTGGATCTTATGGTGTCATGGCGAAAAGAACAGATAATGGCGACCGTCTGTTGCAGCTGTGCTCAGATAACCGCCTATTTCTTGCAAATACTAACTTTAAGCATAAGGGAAAACATCTTTTGACATGGCGACCCCCGAATTCGTCCCAACGTTGGACCCAATTAGATCACATCGCTATCAGCCACCGATGGAGGGGCTCGATTGAAGACTGTCGCTCATTATGGGGCACATGTTTAGATTCAGATCATGCTCTAGTGCGAGCACGTATCTGTCTGCGTCTAACTGGTCGTAGGAAAGACACTGCAGGGAAGCCTCTAAGGGTTCTACTTAATGATAGGCAAGCTAAGAATATATATCAGGAACAACTAGAAAAACAGTTAGGCAGCCATGTAAGTTGTGTCCACCCCGAGGCAGCGTGGAATGACATCCGAAAAGCTGTGGAAACAGCAGTGATGTCCGCTAGTAAGGTAAACCATAACGTTAGGGAGAAACAATGGATCTCGGCAGCATCTACCGCACTGATAGATGCTCGTAAACTCATCCCACCTGGCTCTGAGCATAACGAAGAGCGGAGTCAACTTAAGCGCAGGCTTATAAGAAGCCTACGTAATGATCGTGAACAGTGGTGGGTAGGGAAAGCAAGAGAGATGGAAAAGGCAGCGGCAATAGGTAACAGTAGGCAGCTATTCAGACTCGTTAAAGAAACCGGCATTAGGAACCCGAATATCAGTGAAACCATCTCAGATAGAGATGGGCATATTATTCATTCTCAATCCAGGAGATTGGATCGATGGGCAGAACACTTTAGGGATCAGTTTAACTGGCCTTCAGCCACGCTTCAATTACCCACGATCCCCAGTCGTCCTGAATGGCAAATTGACGTAAGTCCTCCAACCCTCTGTGAGGTTGAAAAAGCTATAGGAAATCTGAAGCGAGGGAGAGCAGCAGGCCCTGACAGGTTGACCCCTGAGATTTTTAAGGATGGTGGTCCAGTACTAGCAGTGAGATTGACTGAGGTCTTAGGTAGAATCTGGGAACTGGACGTAATTCCATCTGACTGGTCCCAATCACTGATTGTGCCAGTCTATAAGAAAGGACAAAAGTCCTCCTGTGACAATCACAGAGGGATCAGTTTGACTAATATATTGTCTAAAATATTAGCTTCAATAATACTAGGTCGCCTAACCAAAGCTCGTGAAGAGCAGACTAGAGAAAACCAGGCTGGTTTTCGACCTGGACGTGGTTGCATAGACCAGATATTCACCCTACGTCAGGTTCTAGAACATAGACACAAATTCAGACGTCCCACAATAGTAGTATTTCTTGACCTTAAGGCGGCATTTGACTCCGTTGATCGTGAGGTTCTATGGCAATGTTTGTCACTGAAAGGAGTACCAAAGAAGTACATTAACCTCATAAAGGCTCTCTACTCGAACACAACTGGTCGAGTTAGAGCCTATGGCGAACTGTCATCAGAACTGATTACCACAAGTGGAGTTCGTCAGGGCTGTCCACTCTCCCCATTCTTGTTTAACTTTGTCATTGACATACTTTTAGAGACAGCACTTTCATCAGCTAAGCCTCCAGGAGTTGAACTCTTACCGGGAGGCTCACTTGTTGACTTAGAATACGCCGACGACATAGTTTTACTCGGTGAAGACGCTGACAAAATGCAGAGTCTTCTGACCACCATAAGCAACAATGCAGGCATGTTCGGGATGCGATTCTCTCCCTCGAAGTGCAAAATGTTACTTCAGGATTGGGTTGCAGCGACACCTGAACTAATGATAGGGAGTGAAGTAGTTGAGCGTGTAGACCACTTCACTTATCTTGGGAGTCTCATCAGCCCTTGTGGTCTGGTGTTTGACGAAATCTCAGCACGGATACAGAAGGCTCGTCTAGCTTTCGCCAACTTGCATCATTTGTGGCGTAGGCGAGATATCCGTCTAGCAACCAAAGGACGGGTTTACTGTGCAGCAGTTCGTTCCGTCCTACTTTATGGAAGTGAAACATGGCCGGTAAGAGTAGAGGATATTCGTAGGCTACTAGTGTTCGATCATAGGTGTCTTCGAAGCATTGCTCGTATATCCTGGGACCACCGGGTAAGTAATGCAGTTGTTAGGAAACGAGTACTAGGTAGGGATGGCAAATCGATTGATGAAGTAGTGAAACTTCATCAGTTGAGATGGCTGGGACATGTGTTACGTATGCCCGACCACCGACTGCCCCGACGTGCAATGTTTCATGGTGTAGGAGTAGGTTGGAAGAAAGCTAGGGGTGGCCAGTCCAAAACGTGGCACAAATCAATGAAGTCGCTGACAAGTGGACTGGGCCATGTTGGTAAGTGTAGACTACCTGGTTGGGATTCGCGAGATGATAGCAACCGATGGTTAGAGACCTTAAGTGACATGGCTCAAAATCGTTTGCAATGGCGAAGATGCATCCACTCTTTGTGTTCTACCAAATTCTAATCTTCTGAATTTCTCATGTCTTTATGTTTTTCTCTTTCCAAATATATTTCACTGTACTATACTCCTTCAATAACATCTTCAAACTCTAATCTTTCCGATTACTGCTTATACTCTTACTACTTCTTCCACTATGGGATTTGAATCGACAACTGCATCTGTGTGCTAATGTGGTATGGCAACTCGAACTGATGTACGTACGTACGAAGTTCTACGTTGTGACTGACTGACTGACTGACTGATACTACTTATTAGATGATCATTGTTTAAAAAAAAAGAAGGGAATAGTTAAACAACAACAATCATTAAACTAACTCTATAATGACCGATTTTAACAAACATTTACAAAATGAATATAATCAATGATATTGAAAAATGTAAGGAAATTATATTATTTATACTATTAAACAGGATTCGAAGGATTCTTCTTGTAATTAACGAATTCCTCTGTCATTAGATTGAGAGTTTGAATCCTGTTTCCCATACTTCAATCTGGTTAGCTGGTTAGTATGACTAGCCCCCAAATGCCCTTGTACGATCAAGAGTGGGAAGGGCGGGCCCTCCCCACTCTTGAAATGCTCTCACATGGTTACGTGTATACAGCCTCTGCCAGGGAAGTCCTACTAACTGCCTTCTCGTGGCACCCATGTTGTTTATGAAATTGAGAGGGCGAAAAGCGAATGTCCGGTGCTTTAAAAGGGTTAGTGGATACGGAAAGTCCACCTAGGGGAGTTGGAAAACCCTGATTTCAAACCAATGGTGTACATAGGCTTGAGGATCCTGAGGGAACAAATGGCGTATGAACTAATTATTGGTCATCAGCTACCATGTAACTGCATCTCCTCACGATGCTCTACTGTCTTGTGGATCAGACCTTTAGGTCGATAGCTCCGGGTGTGTCCCCTTAAGAAAACCACCTGCTTCAGTTTGGGCACCCGGGCAGTATCACAGCCCTCACACAATTAAATGAAATGACAATTATTTGTGTGGCACATATATATCTGGTGCTTTCTTGTACCGATATTTATGTGTTGAAATAAATAAGTATAAAAAGTATGATTAACCCTTGCACAAATAGTACGACTAAAATTCCAGAACATAAAACTGTACATAATAAGTTATATTACAAATTAAAATATAAATTAGGACGCTTAAAATAACCAAAAGAAATATGAAAAGCTCCATAAACGACTGTTTTTAGACATAATAATAAAAGTTTACATTCCATATAGTTTCTATTACATATTGAAACAGGAAATATATTTTAGACCAATATATGTGAAAAATATTATAAATTTACCTTTAATAGTTGTTTAGCTGCTTCACTTTCACCCACTGCCAGTACATTAATCCCAGCCACACCAACAGCATCTTTGAGTGAACGAAAAGGTTGAGGCAACTTGACGATAGAAGTTGCATATTCTGGGAATGCACGTGCCACAGCGTGAGCACCAGCCTCATTAGTATGAGCGGAAATACCCACAATAATTTCTTGACCTAGAATAACAAGTTTGAGATAGATGCTAAGGGAAGTCTACAATGCGAGTCTACAATACTACAACTATGGACTGCACACATATGCACACAAGTGACAAATAATAAAAAATATCAAAATTTCAGTATGGTAGGTTTTTAATGAGGTACTTCGATCAATGTGAAATCCGCCTGCAGCTCCTCTGGAGGTTACTGCCGGTCCCAAGCCCGGGTAAAGGAGGAGGGTTGGGCATGGGGTTAGCGACCCCATCCCGTAGAAAATCAACTCGCTAAAAAAACGCTAACCAGAAAAAAATTATTCAAACCATGATATCTGATTAATCATCCCGTTATAAATAACTCAGAACCTGGTTGATTAGTCACCGACGTCAAATATCACTAACAGAAAAGGAGATTATGATATTGGTCTTCGCATATAATGTAATTCGATTAATAATTGCATGTTTATGAATTCGATCCACTTGCTATGTCATGTAAAGGCTAATGAGCTACCCTAAGTATAGAGCAAGAGGTCGAATTTGTGACTTATTAGTTACAAGCCAAGTAACATCACCATCACATTCCTCTGTTATAAATATATTCAATATATAAATACAGCGTGGTAGTAAACCCTTAACTTAATGCAATACATGATCTGATTTGAAATTTAAGTAGGAACATTTTACAACAAAGTCGAAGTCTTATTAATGAATAGGAATAGAATTGAAAGCAACACAGTTTTGGTTTTATTTGCTTTTAGTCTTCAGTAATAAGGAGGAGAGTAGGTTGATGAACCTGTGTTAATCCTGACAGATTGCCTTCCAGTGAAGGTCTAGCTTCTCCTTGAAAATGTTCACTGATGGGGCTGATACCACTTGTTCGGGTAATGCGTTCCAGTCATTGACCACTCGATGAGAAAAACGGGACCCAATTTTGGTTGTTTGTTTTCTACCTAGCAACAACTTTACAATCACCTCTTTGTTTCTTTTCGTATTTCTCTAGGTATTTGAAAATAAAATCAACTATTATCGTAGTCAAATACATATCCCGGAATTATTTAACGCCGGTGTTCCATTATCAAAACTTGCTTTATTTGCTGGACCTTTTGGACGTCAAAAGAATATCATTTCAACGATTCCATAAAAAACTTCATAGTTCTATCTTTATTATTATTTTCTGCTTTTTTTTAAAAAATTTAAGCTTTGAATCATTGACAAACGATAGTAAACTGTGTGTAATTCACATAGTTACATATACAACATCTTGTTGTTGTTGAGGTATGGCAACTTGGAACGATCTCAAGCGCGGGTAAAGGAGGAGGGTTGGGCATGGGGTTAGCGACCCCATCCCGTAGAAAATCAACTCGCTAAAAAAACGCTAACCAGAAAACATCATTCAAACCATTTAAACTATCACCTGGGAGTAGAAGGAATAATTATGACGTCTCATGATGAAAGCCGAGTTTCTTCGGAAGTCGTGAGGCCGATGCACCTTCTTACAAAGAAAGCAACAATTTTTATAGGTACATGGAATGTCCGGACAATGTGGGAGACCGTAAGAGTCTTCCAAATTGATGCAGAAATGAGAAAATACAACCTGGAGGTGCTTGGAATCAGTGAAACACATTGGACGCAGGTTGGACAACAACGACTGTCTTCAGGAGAACTTCTGTTATACTCCGGTCATGAAGAAGAAAATGCCCCACATACACAAGGAGTTGCATTGATGCTATCCAGGAAAGTACAAAATGCACTTATAGGATGGGAATCTCATGGACCAAGGATCATCAAAGTCTCCTTCAAAACAAAGAGTGAGGGCATTACAATGAACGTCATCCAATGCTATGCGCACACCAACGACTACGATGAAGAAGCTAATAACCAATTCTACGATAGGCTGCAATCAATTTTCGAGAAATGCCCAACCAAAAACTTGATCATTTTGATGGGAGATCTCAATGCCAAGGTTGGAAAGGACAACACTGGATACGAAGACGTCATGAGACAATATGGACTGGGAGAAAGGAACGAAAATGGTGAGAGATTTGCAAACCTATGTGCGTTCAATAAACTGGTCATAGATGGCACCATATTCCCACACAAAAACATACATAAAGCCACTTGGATTTTACCGGATCACACTACACAGAATCAAATCGACCATATCTGCATCAATAAAAAATTCAGGAGGACGATGGAGGATGTGAGAACCAGAAGAGGAGCTGATATAGCATCCGATCATCATTTGCTGGTCGCCAAGATCAAACTAAAACTCAAGAAGCACTGGACAACGGCGCGCACAACATCACAAAAGTTTAATACGGCCTTTCTTCGAGATGCTGACAAACTCAACAAATTCAACATAGCTATCAGCAACAAGTTCCAGGCCTTTCATGATCTACTCAATGGAGAGGGAACTACCATGGAGAGCAACTGGAAAAGTATCAAGGAGGCAATCGTTTCAACATGTCAAGAATTCTGGGCCAAAAGAAGCACCATCACAAGGAATGGATCACTGTTGCTACACTGGATAAAATTGAAGAAAGGAGGAACAAGAAGTCAGCAATCAATATCAGCCGAACCAGAGCGGAAGAAGCCAAGGCACAAGCCGAATACACAGAGGCAAACAAGCAAGTGAAGAGGAGCATCAGAACCGACAAACGTAAATATGTGGAAGATTTAGCAACGACAGCGGAAAAGGCTGCAAGAGAGCGAAACATGAGACAACTGTATGATGCAACAAAGAAACTTGCTGGCAATCACCGTAAGCCAGAAAGACCAGTGAAAAGCAAGGAAGGCAAAGTAATCACCGACATTGAAGAACAACGAAACAGGTGGGTAGAACACTTCAAAGAACTCTTGAATCGATCAGCTCCACTGAACCCACCCAACATCAAAGCAGCACTCACAGACCTCACAATCGATGTTGGCCCACCAACAATTGAAGAGATCAGCATCGCCATTAGACAAATCAGGATCGGTAAAGCAGCGGGACCAGACAACATCCCGGCAGAGGCACTGAAAGCAAATGTAGCAGCAACTGCCAAGATACTACACATCCTCTTCAGTAAGATTTGGGATGAAGAACAAGTACCAATAGACTGGAAAGAAGGACTTCTGATTAAGATACCAAAGAAAGGCGATCTCAGCAAGTGCGACAACTATAGAAGCATCACTCTTCTCTCAATACCAGGAAAAGTATTCAACAGGGTATTGTTAAACAGGATGAAGGATTCAGTGGACGCCTAACTTCGAGATCAACAAGCTGGATTTCGTAAGGATAGATCGTGCACAGATCAAATCGCAACTCTATGTATCATTGTGGAACAATCGATCGAATGGAATTCATCACTCTACATCAACTTCATCGACTACCAGAAAGCATTTGATAGCGTGGACAGAACGACACTATGGAGGCTTCTTCGACACTACGGTGTGCCTGAGAAGATAGTCAATATCATACGGAACTCCTATGATGGACTAAACTGCCAAATCGTCCACGGAGGACAACTCACTGACTCGTTTGAAGTAAAGAACGGTGTACGGCAAGGTTGCTTACTCTCACCGTTTCTCTTTCTCCTGGTCATCGACTGGATCATGAAGACGTCAACATCTGGAGGAAAGCACGGAATACAGTGGACAGGCAGGATCCAGCTTGACGATCTAGACTTCGCGGATAATCTGGCTCTTCTATCACAAACGCAACAACAAATGCAGGAGAAAACGACCAATGTAGCAGCAGCCTCAGCAGCAGTAGGTCTCAATATAAACAAAGAGAAAAGCAAGACTCTCCGATACAAGACAATATGCACCAATCAAATTACACTTGACGGAGAAGCTTTGGAGGATGTGGAAACCTTTACATATCTGGGCAGCATCATTGATGAACACGGTGGATCAGATGAAGATGTGAGGGCGCGGATCGGCAAAGTAAGAGCAGCATACTTACAACTGAAAAACATCTGGAGCTCAAAACAATTGTCAACCAACACCAAGGTTAGAATTTTCAATACAAATGTCAAGACAGTTCTATTGTATGGGGCGGAAACCTGAAGAACTATGAAAGCCATTATCCAGAAGATACAAGTGTTTATTAACAGCTGTCTACGCAAGATACTTCGGATCCGATGGCCAGACACTATCAGCAACAAGTTACTGTGGGAGACAACAAATCAGATTCCAGCGGAGGAAGAAATCAGGAGGAAGCGCTGGAAATGGATTGGGCACACCTTGAGGAAATCACCCAATTGTGTCACAAGACAAGCCCTCACATGGAATCTTGAGGGTCAAAGGAGATGAAGAAGACCAAAGAACACATTACTCCGTGAAATAGAGACAGACATGAGAAGAATGAACAAGAACTGGATAGAACTAGAAAAGAAGGCCCAGGACAGAGTGGGTTGGAGAATGCTGGTCGGTGGCCTATGCTCCATTGGGAGTAACAGGCGAAAGTAAGTAAGTAAGTAAGCCAAGTAGTATTATCAAACTTCAAATGAGGCTGAAAGCTGAACAAAAACTTTTATGTAGTAACATTAGTGTCATTACTAATTAAAACTATACTAAGCATATTGTTTAACGTTCGACCACAGTCAGTTCATGGAACAACATCAGAGAACCCCATACAACTCAAACAAACCATCGGTAACTTCATTGAGTGATAGTATATTCTGAACTACGACCGTACCTGCCACCTTGAAGTGGTGGTCAGGCTTGCCTATCATTACGACTCAACCGAGCTATATTAACTAAAACATATGTACCTTTAGGTTCTTTGATGTCAGGCAGATCGGTTGGAAAACGGTAAGACCAAAGGCAGCAACTTAAGACTAGGTGGCGAAGTTGTATTGCTCATTGAGAAGGGGATGTGACAGCAGTAAGGTGTTTCCATCGGACAAACAACATCTGTAGCGACTCTGCGTTCTCACAACGAAAGAAAGAGATTAGAAAAGGTCGACCATAAAAATCTCACACCTCAAATTACACCATAGATTCCCATCTCCGAAGGCTAAGACTTTTGAAGTGATGATGAGAACGTTATTTCCAGCAGTAGGTCTATGATGAAATTAAACAAAAATGGACAGTCTTGTCAAACACTACTTGAGGTTGCAAAATCAGATGACAGTTCGCCATATGCTTTGACTCAACTGGTATTGTTCGAGTAAAAAGTCTTCACAAGGCTTATGTACTTCAGAGGTACACCTACTGATGACAAACTCTGTCACAGAACCTCTCGGTCTAGAGTCAAATGCTGCTTTCAAGTCAAGACAAACTATCATTGCCTATCATTGCATGTCTGTGCTCTAAAACCTGACGAATAGTGAATATGTGGTCGATGCAACCACGATCAGGTCTGAAGCCAGCCTGATTTCCTCGTGTTTACAGTTCACGAGTTTTAGTTAGGCACTCGATAATTATTGAGGCTAGCATTTTAGATGCTTTATTAGTTAAACTTAACCCTATATGGTTATCAACAGATTATTTTGACCCCTTCTTATATATTGGGACAATAAGTGATTGCGACCAGTCAGATGAGATTACATCCAACTCCCAGATTTTAGACAAAATATTAATCAACCTAATCGCCGAAATTGGACCACGATACATAAAGACCTCTGGAGTCGACCCATCTGGACCAGCTGTTGTTCCTCGTTTTAGATTAGTTATATCTTTTTGAACTCCAATTAGAGTCGGGGGGGCCACTTCAATGTTCCATTCAGGCTGTTAGGCAATGATGGGTAGTTGTGAAGTAGCTGAATTGCTCTTTAAAGTGTTCCATCCATCGCTATAAATGTCTGGGCTGAAAGCAGATACGATTGTCGTCTTTCTCCGAGACTGTCTCGCTTACACTTGACTTCTTAATTCTAGTTTATTTTATTAGTCTGAAAAGCTGTCTGGTGTTACCTACAGCCACTGCATTTTCCATCTCTTTCGCTTTCATTGGCAAACTAATACAAGTCCTCCAACTAATGAGGTTGAAAAGGCTACACGTAATCTCGAGCGACGGAGAGCAGCGGGGCATGATGGACTAAACTCTGAGACTTTTAAGGGTTGTGGTCCAGTTTTAGCAGCTAGATTAACTGAAATCTTAGCTAAAATCTGGAAAATGTACGTAACACCATCTGATTGGTCTGGATCGCTGATCGTCACAGTTTATAAAAAAAGGAAAGAATTTTCTCGCGACAATCAAAGAAGAATCAGTTTAACTAATACAATGTCTAACTGGTGTCTGACGGAATCTCGGCACAGATTCATAAGGTTTGATTGGTTCTTTGCCAACTTGCATCACTTGTGGCGTACGCGAAATATCCGTCTTTTAACCAAAGGGCGAGTTGACTGCGCAGCGGTTCATTCCGTTCTACTCCATGGGTGTGAAACATGGCCATTAAGAGTAGAGGATATTCATAGGTTACTGGTATCTAACCATAAGTGCATGCGAAACACTGATCGTGTATTTTGGGACCATGGAGTAAGCAATATCTGAGTTAGGAATAAGATACTAGGTAAAGATGGAAACTGATTGATTGGATTGCAAATCTTCAATAACAGAGGTGGTTGGGATACATTTTGCGTATGCCCAACCATTGTCTACCTCGACGGGAGATGTTTTCTAGTGCAGGAGTAGGGTGGAAGAAAGCTAGGGGCGGCCAAACCCAAACAAAGCGTCAGTCCATGAATACATTCACAATTAAATTTATCTATGTTGATAGGTGCAGAATACGTGGTTGGCGTGTGCATGATTATCGTAACCAATGCTTAGCGACTTCAAACTGCATGACTCAAAATCGTTTGCAATGACACAGTTGCATTGATTCTTTAACTTCCCTCAAATCCTGAGGCTCTAAATTTCTCATAACTATTGAGCTTTTTTCGCTAATTTATATTTTCTCTTTGAGTCGTGTGTCTGGTGCCTAATTTTTCCCATTACTGCCGATACTGTTACTACCCCTAATATTCTGGGATTTGGCTTAACAACTTCATCTCTCTGTGCTAATGGGGTATGAAAACTTGAACCGATGTACGTACGTACAGGTTCCATGTCGTGACTGACTGATATTCTGTCTGATTATTCATGGTTTGTCTCCGGATCGCTCTTATACTGACCAAAATAACGAACTAAGGTAGGTTGTGGCTCATGGATAAAATGCCTCATTCCGCAAAATTCAACAGAATGGTTACTTATTTTAACTAGTACTCTAAATCCAACATACTAGTTATGCAGTGGATTAACTATATGCAAGTGATACTTTAAAAACATCTGCCATTAAATCATTTTAACTTCAGCGTGTTCCCTACTTTGAAAAACATGTTTTGCAGCTAAGAAATGTAAATGTAAACACATGGAAATGTAAACACAACTGTTTAGCACTTATACTCGTTCTTTAGTAATTAAATGAATATTGAACTGTGCAACAGTTTATGTAGATTGGTGAAAAACAAGAGAAAATTTCCGCATATGAAAAAATTCAGTCATCTACCAACCCATAAATGTCAGTGCAGATTTAGAAAGCTCTACTAACTTATGAGAAATTATGCTGTTTGAAATATTAAATTAGTGAATATTTATCATCCAAAAGTTATGCAAAAGATAGAGAACCTTTATAATACGTGAAACTTGAATTAGTATTCGCATACATAGACAGTATTTTCCACTACGTAATTTAAACCAGAATAGTGGAGAAAGGTTACGATGTCCAGATGTATTTACTCACTTTTGAATGCCTATAGTATATTTGGTTCATAGTCTACATGCTAGATCATTAACAGCATATTTTAACTGACACTTTATGTCAGGTGCGACATCCTATAAGATACCTTTATCAATGCTCTAAAACGATTTAGTCACAAAACCTGGAACGCTTAAATTTGCCTAGAATCTGTAAATGAAGCAAACTAATCGTACACCAAAGTTTTTCAGACTATTGACGGACGCTTTTTGATCATATGTGTGACTAAATGAGATTTTAAACATAGCTATTTATAGGATTGCAAAGTGAAAAATATTTTTATTACATCACTTGTACATGTGTAAAATTACCTGTGAAGAGTACATCACTCCCCTCAACCTGAGCGTTTTCTGTATTTAACTCAACTATTTTAATCCCCAGTTCTTTTTTGAGAGTATGACGAATTAGGTTGACCTGGAAATATTAGAAAAACACGCAAATATATTCTACTTCTCCTTGTCTGTGACATCGATATGGGTTACACATCAGTGCTGTCCCATTAATTATAACAGCTGTGTCATCTACTTTTACACACTCAGGATGACGTTCATCGGCTTCCATTTCAAGTACATCAACTCCGTTCTGTCTCAATGCCTCTACGAATTTCTCTCTCTCATTGCAAGCCTCCTCATAGTCGAATTTTCCACCTTTTTTTCCTTGTATGTTAGCATCAGGAGACATCAAAAATTCTTCAAACGATCTGGGTATTTGGCTTACTACTGCGTATTCATATTGGAATGCCATTAAAACGAAGTACACCAAACACTACAACCTAAGCGCCACGTTTACGTTCAAACTCCAAATTAATTGAATCACTTCAGAAATAAAGATAGCAGGTTGGTGGGTCTGAATTAATCTTTATAGCTTTCTTTCAAATGAAAAAATTCGGTTCCTCCTTGAAAAATTTAACTGATGGGGCTGATACAACTTATTCAGGTAAACGGTTCCAGTTATATGGTCCAAATGGTTCTGGACGGAACAGAAGAAGCTTCGACTTACCGAGCTTCCGTATTTAATAGCACTGAATAACCATTGTCTTCTACTAGAATTCAATGTTTATTTACCGATCAAAAAGAAATATTAGTAAACTGAAGTGGGATAATGTCTTGAGTCTCTAAGAATATTCGACGTTTCCTATTGAAGAACTCCTAAGACTATCTATGCCAGCAGAAAAATCCGAATTTTTATCGCACGTTAAGAATAAAAAGTTTGAATACAGTCCATTCTGCTTTTTCTTGTATATTTTCTTGATGTCACCTCTTGTAGCTGTAAATAATTCACCAAGTAAGTAAGTGAGTAAGTAATGTTGCTGTAAATAATTCCCCAAAATCAATAGCTTTCTAAGTGTTCGATATTGGATGCTGACCACGTTGTTTAAGTGGACTTGTTTAACTGAAGGCTTTCGGTCATGCATCCGTACCAGATCACGTTGCAACTCGGCGTGGGACACAGCTCCTACGTTTCCATAGTCAGCTAATAACGAACGCCTCTCGATATATTGGTAACGTACCAAATATATCTTTCCTACATCTTCTCGTCTGACTTCTGATTTCCTTTGGCCGGGAACTATCGAATATAGAAGGTACTACTGGTTGCTAGTTGTTAAACTAGAATATCCGTCGTATCTTCACTATGAAATTTGCGTTGGGACTGAGCGAAAGTAGGCGTTTAGGGAGATTCATTGGAGCGTTTGGGTTGTTTTAAGTCAGTAGAAGGTCACCTGAGAAATATGTATACTCAGAAAGGCGAAGATTCAATCATTTGAGGCACTTTTCATATCGTTAGAATTCGAGCTCATGAGAACTGCAACTAAGTCGATCACCAGAATCGCAAGGCTGTCGTATGACGTGGGACTGGTATCACCAAACCAATCAGTTACCTGACCTAACTATGATCATTGCATCGCAACTGGTCTGAGATTCTCTTTTTTTCTCTGATGCCAAAACCGGAGGTTCAAACTCACCATTAACAGATAATCCAGAGTATAATCTCATCTTAATAGCTGTTCCGCCGTACACTAAACCAAAGGAACCATTAACTATTTCCAAAGCTCACTTATCTCCGACAAACTTTTCTTTAGAAAGTTCATCTAAATCATCGTATTCATGATTAAACAATCGTCCTAGATCCCACAGCACATAGTGCGTTGGAGAACAGCTCTGAAAATCAACTTGATGTGCAGTTCTATTTGTTCTCTTAGAACCCATATAGTCCTTACTCATGTCATACCTACATAAGACCTAAGAGATAAAGTACCCATGGTTGAAATTGAAAAATATGAGTCGAAAACTGGAATGAACTTCATGTATGCAATAATATGGGACAGTCTACCCTCCAAAATACGCATGGCTGATGGATTATACATGTCCGCAAGAATCCTTAATGAAGTCCTTGCTTAATGTAAGTTCCTTTCTGTACATTTTTCACCAGTTCGATACTTCCACATGCACTTTGCTTATCTACCATCGATTTCATCTCACTACTCATTACCTAATTTATAATGATTGTACTCCAACACTTTCCAGTCCACTTCGATAAACATTTGACTGCCACTATACCCTTCTAAATGCACTTCTCGACTGAGTCCTATCGTAGAATCAGTCTTTAGCGTCATCATCGTAGTCATTGGTAGGCGCATAGTACTGGATGGTGTTCAATGTAATGTCCTCTTTCTTTGTTTTGAAGAAGGCTTTGATGATCCTTAGTCCTTGAGGTTCTCATCCAATAATTGTATTTTGTTCTTTTCTGGACAGCATCAATGCAACTCCTTGTGTATGTGGGACATTTTCTTCGTCGTGACCGAAGTATAACAGAAGTTCTCCTGAAGACAGTCGTTGTTGTCCAACCTGCGTCCAATGTGTTTCACTGATTCCAAGCACCTCCAGGTTGTATTTTCTCATTTCTGCATCAATTTGGAAGGCTCTTCCGGTCTCCCACATTGAACGAACGTTTCATGTACCTAGATAGATGATTGTCTGGTTGTTAGAAATGGAACTAGGTTCGTGACTTCCGAAGGAACTCGACTCTCATCATGAGACGTCATAATTAATACTTAAACTTCCAGGGAAGAGTTTAAAAGGGTTTGAATAATTTTTCTGGTTAGCGTTTTTCAAGCGAGTTAGATTTCTGCGGGATATGGTCAACCCTCCTCCTTTATCAGGGCTTGGGACCGGGTGTGAGCTAGGGTGATGCAGTCACAGGCGCAGATCTTGATGTTAGTAGAAAATATTCAAGTAAGAACATTGAAGGCCGAGGTGAAGAAGGGTTCCATAGGAACGGTAGTTGATATGAATCAGGCGGTCCTAAGTGATCCGGTGAATCGTAACATAGACGGGGTACCTGATATTATCCGCTCGCGGGCTTGTTCACTAATCTGCAAATTATTGTTGCATTGCAGCACCCTGTAGCGAATAGGGAATAGGATTATTATTCCCAACCTATCCATGGAGATTGGTGCGTCGGACCTTTCGTTCGGCGAGCGCCCAGTGCGGTAACAAAATCGACATCGGCGAGAGTTCTCTTTTCTTTATTAGGAGTGCATCCACTCCCTCGAATCGGCTTGTCCGGAGATAGAGGGCTAGCCTTCGTAAAGCACCACCCTTTTTGTGCCGTCCGGAATGCTCTTGTCGACCCTTGAAAATCCGAGCGAGACAGTATAATTTTCGTGGCAAACCGTACCCATATCCGCAGCAGGCCTCCAAGGTGAACAGCCTCTGGCAATCGAACAATGTAGGTAAGAGAAGTCGGTGACATGGATCCTTAACTTCGAGAGAAGAATTGGCTCTGGGGGTCGAGCCAGACAGACTGAGATCAGATACGTATCGGTCCAGTTAGGGGCTGCTTTCTTTGCTGCTTTGTGTGCTTCGGTGCGCATTGTGGTGAGGTTACTGGACTCTGACCCGGGTCGATCGTGGGCGGTTTTCAGCTGTTAGTGTCGTGCAGCTAGCAACGCGCGAGGACATGTTCCACGTTGCGTCAAGCGGCTGTACTTCCATGGTCTGACGTGCGACGGCTAACTCAGAACTGGCACGGACCAGGGGAGTCCGACTGTCCAATTAAAACGAAGCATTGCGATGTCCACTGATTTACTTTGACGCAATATGATTTCTGCCCAGTGCCCTGAATGTCAAAATGAAGAAATTCAACCGAGCGCGGGTAAACGGCGTGAGTAACTATGACCCTCTAGCACATTGCTCTCCATCGTCTTCCGAATCTTTGGTCGTTTCTTCGCCTCCTCGACATCGTTTCCGGTTCAATTCTATCAATTCAATACTACTCAAGACGGTGATTCGGGACGTATAGATTTTTATTAATAATAATAATAATTTATTCGCAAATAACAGTTTGCTGCATGAGGCATGCCGGTTTACAGGCAAGATCAAATTGTTACAGAAGTTACAATTTTCACTGTAGAAAATTACTCAGCTGTGTTGATATTTTATAAGATATGAATATAAATGGATTTCGTAAGAAACATGTCAATATCACACATGGCGCACTTTATGCGGGTAGCGTTGCAACATACAGCTGATGATCGAGAATAAATATATGCGAAGTTGAGGGCTTTTAGAAGCTTCGACCTTATATCCCTCCGGAATATCTGAGGCTTTAATAAAGGCGTAGGACAAAGTCACCCTTGCCATATCTGTTTTCGGTGGGGTATCTCCAGGGGTCTGAAAAAGGTGTAAGAAAAAGGAAGGACGAAAAGCAGAGTACACAATATTCATGGGGGAATAGTTAAGGTATAACCATTTAGTCTATTTGTCTGTTACTGAAGTACTTAATAGACAAGAGCATACTAATGTGTTAAAGAAAAATAGGTGTGAACAAGGTATGAGTGGATAAAGAACTGTATAAATGAAGGTAGTTCAGAAAGAAGTTGAAAGTATGGAATTATAAAATAAAGTGCTGAAAAAAGTGTTCCGATACAAATGACTGTCCCTCTTTCTTTCAAAGCTATTTGAACTCTTTTTTGTTTTTTAGATTTTTTAGGGTATGGAGTGGGCTTCGTTTTTAGCCAATTGTCTAGTTTGTTTGTAATAGGATTACTTGGTAGGAAGTGGAACCGATTCAGCATTCTAAACACGATTTAAAAATGTATTATGCATGAATAAATCAGCATCAATACCGTTGGTTCGTGACATCCCACTTGACATAAGGAGCCGTAATTTAACATGTTCTGCCCTACAGACACGGTTGGATTGAAGTTATCTCCCCACCATCATGTTTTCTGGTCAGTAACGCCACCCTCCCTTCTTTTATGATGTTAGGATCTCTTACGTTTGTGGTCAGTATGAATGTTGCTTTAATCAAGGACCATAGTTGGAATACACTGTCTCTACAAGTTCCATGTTACAAGCAAATCGGATGGTAAAAGCATTTGTATTATGGGTTAGGTGTCCATTCAATATATCATACTGCTATGAAGATAACAAATGGTAAAAGTTATAAAAGACAAGTCAGATTATATGTGGTTAAGAGATGGTAAGGACTAATAGCAAACCAGAGGATATGAAAGAGTAGATTGTAAAATTTTCAGGGTAAGAAAAATAAAACGTTGAGCAACTCACAAGAATTTAGGACATTCGAACTTCTTATGAACGGCCTTAGTTGGTCAACATCCATAAGATTAGTGAGTTATCTGTCTACTTGTAATAAGAAAAATAAAAGGACATGGCACTTAGGAAGAATAATGTGGTTTTAACCATTAGAGAGATTTGGGGACTGAAAATGAGGGTTAGGAGCAGAAGGTCATGATTAGTAAACAATAAATAGCGGGGGAGGATAAAGCATGATTTCTTTAG